TTTGAAAAGAAAGACTTTTCATATGTTTTACTAGTAAAGTTTCGTGAAATCCGGTGATTTATTGTAGGGCAGTGTATGTATGCTGCACAAAAGATAGAATGTTAAAAATGTCAAAGGTTAGTTGAACTGATATCCCTCGAAACAGTATTACAAATTCAAATCCACCTAATGTATAAAAATGTAAGCAAAGCTAATTACACGTAATCACGCACAACTTACCGAAAAAGACTCCGAAGCCATCAACAATTGTATCGAGGCATGCCCGACCACATACGAGCCATAATAACGAGGCTAGAGTTCTAAAACACATTTCGAAAATAAACATGTTTATGAGGAACATGCTACATAAAAGAGATGCGTATAAGTATTGAATAGTAATATATTAATATATTGTGCATAACTATACTCACAAATATGTCGTAATGAATACAACCAGCAATACAGTGATAAATCATACAGTATTGAGACAACTTATTAAAGTAAAGAACGGATTAAATGTAACAACCCATTTTCTTTCTTGCAATTGAGGTCGACCGCTATTATTGCTATTAAGAGAGGCTGTTGTTCATCAAAAACTATAGTAATTTCATTTCCATCTCCTATATGTTGCTTGGCAGTATCCGATGTAATTGATTCTATATCGCCAGACTGTTCATTAGATATAAAACAGAAGGCGGTTTCAAAGATGCTCCGGCTCTATGTCTACAGTATGTTCTGACATTGTTTACGGTATTGTGTATCATGTGATGTCTGCAGTATCGCATTACAATGAAACGATCATATTGTAATCGTTTGAAATTTAAAATCATTTTCCCACTCCACTATTATCTTTTCCAAAAGGTTTCCTTTGGAATTTTGATTTATTTACGCTCTTCACAATAAGAGGCTGTTCTTTAATAATTAGGTTTAATGTCTTGATATAATCTTTTGACTAAACGAACCCCAGGACCGAATTACGAATAGGAATTAACAAAATGCTGAATAAAAACGGGTCATATTTTCGGTGCAACTATCTGATTGAACTCAGCATTCTAGAATAGTGTATTGCTTTTTGCATGGTTGATTCTGACACTTTTTCTGGCACTTTTGCATATATGGACACGGAAAGTTATTTATACAAATTAAATATTATTTAAGGCCACCCATGTGAATTAATCGCTAATAGGTATAGTATTAAACTTTGTAACACGATCATGTGTGTCTGTAAAATTTTATTGTAAATTTAATCGGTTGTCTGTACAAATTATGTAAATCTCTATATCTAATAAATGCCCTCAATCTTATGATAATACCAATACTGAGCCTCGTATGGGCTAGCGTACTTGTAACCATCAGAAAATTCGGTACCACTATTGACGAGAAATCATTGAGTTAGGTTTAGTAACAATAAGTGCAAGTAAAAATTCGGAAAACACTGGACTTACCATTTCTCATTTGGTGGGGCTTTGCCTCCATATGTCTCGGTGCGGTAGACAAATGTGACATCACTGAATACACCATCACCCTTATTAGAAATAATTAACGTCAGTAAACTCGTGCATAACCGGGGCTATGTTTATCACGTTGTCATATAATATACTCACAGAGTTGTAAATAGCTTTGGCCAACAGCCACGGAATATTGTTTTCTCCATCGGGAGAAGGGTAAGTCATGACTGCATTGGCGACAACCATAGAATAATCTGACGGAATTATACCACTCCATGCCACTCTATTTTGACAGAAACAAAATTGAGATTAAATGATTACAACAAATGGATAAGTTTAACAGCAGTTACTTACCCACTAACGCGTTTGGTTTTCTATGTGGTAAGAAAAGGCAAATATAAGTAAAGAAAACTAATGACGTATATTTTGAACAATGTTTTATTCTACTTTACCTCTAAATGGTGAAAAACAACTTGATTACAAGCATTTCCAAACGAACCGTGATAAATGTCGTTTATTAAATTTGCGACAGGTCCAACTATATGACAAGAACGTTGTTAACGCTTATATAAGTAATAAAATAGCCTTGTATCATTCTTCTACCTCTATTTGACCCGACTCTATACTTACCAAATGTCCAATTGCCTGGCTGTCCATGTGCTCCTCCCTTGCATTGATAATTTTGATATCCAGATGCATAAAGCAAGAACTTGAATTTATGTCCATTGGGAACTTTGAGTGCGTCTGGAACGTAATCGGGTGGTTGATCTGTATTAGAAAAATTAACGATAATGAGTACGTGAATGGTATTTTGTTTCAGCTAGCGGAGTTGTCATGGTGGATCTGAGAATTCGTACATCTTATAGAGCCGATATATTCTGGATATATGCATCCAGGATTGTAAGTCGGAGTAGCCTGGCTATAGCCACTATAGGTTCTTGTTGGAACGTAGCTGGTCGTAGTAGAAGTGTAATTTTCAGACGCGCATGCTACTGGTCCAAGGACGAGCACAGTGACGAGTAGTAGTAATACAATGAGTTTGGATGTTCTGCTTGACATTATTATGATTGAATATTCCTCAGCTGCTTGTATCTTTTTTTCAAGTCAATTAATTCTATATTTCTCTGCTTGCGGTCTGGTTGTTGTGCCTAGAATGCCTTGGAAACGGGGTATTTATAAAGAGTAGAAGGCGGGCAAAGCCAAATGACAAAATTGTTAATTTTAAGGATTCTGTTTATTCTGTCCGTAAATAGATTAGCTGCGTGTGAACGCACAGTATATTACGGCAAGACACATATGTTAATTCGCAATGTACATCACCTGATTCAAAGCCTCATTACTATTTTTATCACCAAAAACTAAGGAAAACTTAAAAATAGATGACGATGAGTTGGATTTATTGCTAAAAGCGTTATGTAAAGGGATCGTGTAACGCCCAACATTTTCGGAGACGTAGGCGAAGGCAAAGGACACGCCAACATGAAAGTTGCTTTCTTATTCTGTGGTTGAGACCAAAGGAAGTCGATTGGCAAAAATTTTGATACAAAGACAGAAACTTGTAGCAAATAGAAATTGCGATTCACCAATAAATGAAGTAGAATAGTTGTTGCGTTTGCAGCATATCACATTGATCTTGATCTGAGACGTGTGTAACCATAATGTTGGCTTAATAATCCAGTAATCAGATGGTAATGGGACGGTTTGCTTTTTTTTGCTCGACGAGTTGATTGGGTCTCTATGACAATACGTCAATCCCTAATTGGATGAATGGCAACCATGTAAATAGACTAGTGTATCCGAAAATGGTGGGCTTTCTTGAAAACTAAACTGTTTTGGGAATATGCAAAGATTTGATTATCGATTTATAACCCAATTAATACAAATTGGCTTGGAAATTATTTCGTGTTTTCCTAATCAACGTTCCGTCAATGGAACAATGGCGTCTAAAAAAACCAATTTTGAGATAACTCGTTATAAAATTCTATTAGTAATCTTTATAAAAGAGTTTGTTTAGTAACAGTGTCTCATTCTCTAGTCATTTCCATTAACGGAAAGCCATTTACGAGACCGGCTCAAAGCCTTTCCGCACAGCCGAGATTGCTGTTCGTATAATCCACTGCTCACAAATAGAAAATGACGAATTTTTATTCTTTATAGTGAAAATCTAATTCCACATAACCTCATTGTCAACTTGGAATTTTTCAGTGTTGGAGCAAGTGAATTAAAAATACAATCGATAGCTTATGATGCTTTTCTCCTTGTTGGGATATGATACTTGATTTTATCGAATATCCGGTTTTCATTGCCTCGACGGTATTTACCAAGACAAAAGTGCACAACGCGTGTAAGTAAGACCACTGGTAGAGAATACTAACCGGTCAGCTTTGAACATAAAACTTCTAAGCATAACACTAGTTTTCATACTCACATAGCTGACACATATTTATGTTATAAAATCATTCAGTACACTCCCATTTAGTACTCAACATAAATGAGTAAAATCCTTTCTAATATCATTTTCCACATTTTAACTACTACAAGGGTTCTTCTCGTTATCTCTTCATGATGGGCTCTGTTGATTAATATCTTTATATATCATACTACGTGCATAATATGTCAATATCTAAAACCCCTTAGAGAGTCTGGGAAGCTAACCCTTACGAGCGGTAAGTTACGCTCTGCAATAGCATTACGTATAACTTTGTTGTTCTGTCTCTACTCAGTCTTAAGAGATAGTAATTTTCTGCTTAGCATTCTGGAAAACAATACGTTATCATAAGTTAGGGTATTGCCTAACAATAATAATTATGCGTAGCTCTCAATCGCGAAAATAGCTCTCGATTGTTTCAACTTCGTTCCGTATTAAAACTCAACTTAGTATCAACATTCTCTATTACTGACACGAATTATCGCCCTAGCACAATGATTGTCCATACTCTGTGACCAATAACGATAATGAAGTATGTAGACGAGTTGCTCCTTCGAAGTATCAAGCGAAAATCATCTTATTCGTACTGATGTATAAACACATTCAAACCATATCGAGACTCGTTCCTCTTCAATAGTGTCGACATGAGATTGTCTCCTAGAGAGGACTTATACAATGCCATATGTCCTTTTAAAGTCTCCGTTTACTACACTCCTGCCTTATTCTCGTTGTGACCAAGGGCATGTCCTCTTTTCCGCAAGAAAGAGGCCAATCTTATCTATAACGATAATGCGTTCAGTCACCAATAGTATCTAAGAACATAATAATCAATAATATTTACGAAAATAATGAATTGTATTATGCTATTGACTACTTCGCAAATGCTAATGTAATATATGGTTATTGGAGCATTTTGATGATTGATTCGACAGCAACCATTTTAAAATATTTCTACTATCACCGGCTAAGTTCTAACCAATAAATTTAACATTGATATTTTTTAATGTATATTACTGTTACTGTTACTATTCCATAAAATCGATTACAAAATTCGATCATCTGTTGTCATGTAAAAACGACCAAAACTGAGCTATATTATGCTAAGTATTCGTTTGTAGAAAATACCGCAACCTAAGGCCAAAAAAGTCGTCAAACGTAAACGAACTTCATATTTAACTGGACAAAAATACGTGTCGTTTCCAGTCTAATGGTGTATGTTGTGCGTTAAGAAGATATTTATGGTAAAATTACACAATCGGATTCTGATTTGAAGATTTTTATAAAGACTATGTTAATGGCAATTATTGACAGCGATGGTGATGTAGATAGCTTTAACGCTCATAAATAAAAATTTTCCTTTTGGCAATTGTGGTGCTTATTTTCGGATACTATATGAATTTGGGGTTAGTTTGTTTTTTTGTAATATGGTAGTTGTTGTTACGATTAATAATACCACAAATTCAAAGACAAATTTCCCTGTTTATATGATATAGAAATCGCTTAGTCAATATCTGACATATTAGTTATACATAATACAATGTTATTACTCAATTTATGCCTAACACTCTATCGATGCTAAACAAGTCTTTTTATCACCTTTATACGACTCAACCTTTTCTCTTATTTTTTTCTTTACTTCTGACCCATTTTTATAAAAAGTATACACCTTATTTTGTGCTTTAGAATATCCCTGTTCAGCTGCTCTTTCATATAGTTCAAGGGCCTTTTGAATGTCTGCTTCTACTCCAATGCCGTTTTCATAATACAGGCCAAGAATATATTGTGCATAAACATTTCTCTCTTTAGCTCTTGCTTGATAGAAGTCAATTACATATTTGATGTCAAAATTTACCCCAGCCATTTTGCTATAATGGCTACTGTTTTCAACTTGCACTGACATATGTGCCTGCTTTACTGCACTCTCATACAATTCGTCTGCTTTTTGTTCATCTTTTTCTACCCCAGTTCCATTGGCATAATGCAAAGCAAGATTATATTGAGCACTGGCATGTCCTTGTTCAGCAGCTTTTTGATACAATTCAATTGCTTTTTGTTCATCTTTTTCTGCTCCAGTTCCATTGGCATAACATATAGCAAGATTATATTGTGCACTGACATGTCCTTGTTTAGCAGCTTTGTGATGCAATTCAACTGCCATTTGTTCATCTTTTTCTACCCCAATTCCATTGGCATAACACATAGCAAGATTATATTGAGCACTGACATGTCCTTGTTCAGCTGCTTTTTGATAGAACCCAACTGCTGTTTGTTCATTTCTTTCTACACCAATTCCATTATAATAATGCAAGGCAAGATTAAATTGTGCACTGGCATGTCCTTGATTAACAGCTTTTTGATGTAATTTAACTGCTTTTTGTTTGTTTATTTTTACCCCAATTCCATTGTCATAATGCAAAGCAAGATTAAATTGTGCACTGGCATGTCCTTGTTTAGCTGCTTTTTTATACCATTGAACTGCTTTTCGTTCATATTTTTCTACTCCAACTCCATTAGCATAACATACAGCAAGATTATATTGAGCACTGATCTCTCCTTGTTCAGCTGCTTTTTTATACCATTCAACTGCTTTTTGTTCATTTTTTTCTACTCCAGCTCCATTAGCATAACATACAGCAAGATTATATTGAGCACTGACCTCTCCTTGTTTAGCAGCTTTTTCATACCATTTAACTGCTTTTTGTTCATCCTTTTCTACCCCAATTCCATCATCAAAACATGCAGCAAGAACAAACTGAGCACTGGCATGTCCTTGTTCAGCAGCTTTTTGATATAAGTTAACTGCTTTTTGTTTATTTTTTTTTACCCAAATTCCATTGTCATAATGCAAAGCAAGATCAAATTGTGCATTGGCCTCTCCTTGTTTAACAGCTTTTTTATATAATTCAATTGCTTTTTGTTCATCTTTTTCTACCCCAAATCCATTGGCATAACATTTAGCAAGAATATATTGAGCATTGGCCTCTTCTTGTTCAGCTGCTTTTTGACATAATTCAACCGTTTTTTGTACAATTTTTTTTACACCAATTTCATTATTATAACATGTAGCAAGAATATCTTGAGCATTGGTCTCTCCTTGTTCTGCAGCTTTTTGATATAACTCAACTGCTTTTTTTTCATCTTTTTCTACCCAAATTCCATTTTCATAGCATGCAGCAAGAACAAACTGAGCACTTGCATGTCCTTGTTCAGCAGCTTTTTGATATAATTCAACTGCTTTTTTTTCATCTTTTTCTACACCAATTCCGTTGTCATAATACAAAGCAAGATTAAATTGTGCACTGGCATGTCCTTGTTCAGCTGCTTTTTTATACCATTCAACTGCTGTTTGTTCATACTTTTCTATCCCAATTCCATTGGCATAACACATAGCAAGATTATATTGAGCACTGGCATGTCCTTGTTCAGCTGCTTTTTGATAAAACCCAACTGCTTTTTGATTATTTTTTTCTACACCAATTCCATTGTCATAATGCAAAGCAAGATTAAATTGTGCACTGGCATGTCCTTGTTCAGCTGCTTTTTTATACCATTCAACTGCTTTTTGTTCATTTTTTTCTACTCCAGCTCCATTAGCATAACATAAAGCAAGATTATATTGAGCATTGGCCTCTCCTTGTTCAGCAGGTTTTTGATATAATTCGACTGCTTTTCGCTCATCTGTTTCTACCCCAATTCCATTGTCATAACATGCAGCAAGAGCAAACTGAGCACTGGCCTCTCCTTGTTCAGCAGCTTTTTGATACAATTCAACTGCTTTTTGATATAATTCGACTGCTTTTTGTTTATCTGTTTCTACCCCAATTCCGTTGTCATAACATGCAGCAAGAACAAACTGAGCACTGGCATGTCCTTGTTCAGCGGCTTTTTGATACAATTCAACTGCTTTTTGTTCATTTTTTTCTACTCCAGTTCCATTGGCATAACATAAAGCAAGATTGTATTGAGCATTGGCATGTCCTTGTTCAGCGGCTTTTTGATACAATTCAACTGCTTTTTCATCTTTTTCTGCTCCAACTCCATTGACATAACATAAAGCAAGATTAAATTGAGTATTAGCATCTGCTTGTTCAACTTTTTCCCTTCTAGTATAACCAGGTATAAATGCACGAATACCACGTCTAGTAAAAATTTTTTTCAGCATTGAAAATATATGGAGTAAAAGTTCTAACCGGCAAATACTAACGTATATAATAACGAGCAAAATGTTGGTGTAATATTCGCGTTGTGTCACAAAATGTCAGCCTCAATAACACATGCTTGTGACAGGTTCCTCCTACCTATAAGCGGTAATTAAATTCCATCTTTGAAAGTGTGTTGCGTTGTGTGGCATCAATAATATCTTTATATTTATTATAGCACTTTTCAAAATAGTACGATCATCATTCAAAAAAAAAAGAAAAGAAACCGAAAATGAAACCGAAAATGAAACCGAAAATGAAAACGAAAACAGTTTCAGCCAATAGAATCAGTTATAATCGCCCATAATCGGTTATAATCGCTGGTGTAACAACCCAACAAGCTTTCTTTTTCTTTTTTTTGCCTTGCGCCTAAATGTAAACCTGCTGACGAATACGTCTATCCACTTACTTTTTTGCCGATTTACTATCTAATTGAACGCGGTATTTGAAGTGTTGGGTCCCTTGCTTCGATTGAATGTTCCTTGTCAATCGTCGCTAAAGTAATTATAACGGACACTCTTTTAAAGGTGTTTCAACATTAACACAATGATCAACTTTATTTTCAATTGTATGAGTAGGCATTACGTGCAATTATTATTTTTTGGTATCATATTTTAATAAATAATAAAATGCTACATTGCCTTAAAACGAGATTTTATTGACCGCACATTTATAATACCCAATATTGCAGAGTTATACTGCTCACTGTACTTACAATAATTGCGTGCAACGATCGCAATTCAACATATTGTTGGATTTGACACATGACAGCACTGCACTACCATACTGCCATAACTAGTTAATTGGTAGTTACACGATCTGATAAGGTTTTGCAAACTTTTTTTACATGTCAAAATGAATAATGATACTACACGGAAGCATCGAAGAATGACGAAGATAGCGTCACAACTGTTTAATATACTTTAACGTATCTGTATTATATGCACGATAAAGCCCATTCTATCGTTTCGTAGTACATATTAATAATAATTGGTAGACATACTGTATATAATAGCATTCTTTTTCAAAGAGATCTTACCACACAATAAACTTTCTGGAAACCTTGGTTTTGAATACGTTTAAGAAAGTCGAAAGTTGTCAGGAATCCCAATTTTTTTTTTTCCACAAAGCTTGCGAGTAAAATGCTTGTAAATTGCTCTGTGAACTTAATGAATATCGGGAACCAACTTATTCGATAAAAAAGCCAAAAGACCGACCCCAAAACCTCCGTTAATTACAACAGGGCATTGTATAAATTTCTATCGGGGTTTTTTGTGGGGAAGGGGTGTATCAGATTATTCATTTATTTTTATCAGATATACGCCTTTGGATCACTCATATTAATATGGTAATTAAACCACCGTAAACAGCACGAGAAAGGAACGTGATAAAATAAAATATGGGGCGCAACGGGAATTGTGATGACTGAACAGATGTCTGACTCTTGATATATTTGTTGTCAAGACCGAATCGTAGCGGAACTGACTGGATTGATCAGGAAACCCTGAGAACTTACGGATCTGATAAGTTGTCGTGTTGTACAAGGAGAGTTATCAGATTCTTGTTACTTTATTAAGTATGACTGCTAAACATATCCGGCTAGATACATAAATGTTATTTATATTGCATGTGGAGGAAATAATTGTTAATATTGTTGGGGTGAGGGGAAAACCATCGTTCGAGTAGCGCCTGACACTTTTAATGTTCCGCTCCACTGTCATCTTTCTTATGAACCGGTTTCCCAATCTTCAAGCTAAACTATAAACAACAATAGCTCGTCATGGATCAAATATGGTAACAAGCCTCTTATTATTAGAAAAGGATTTGCCGTTATCGTTACATCATGTGAAAAATAGTGAATTCTGTATGATTGGTTGTATGATCATGCAACCTCTCCCGATTGTTGCCGCACACTATACACTTTAATTGTCCTGTCCAATGCATTTTCGATTTTAGTGGCTGGGTGAATATGCCTATATATATACGAGAAGAATTGGGTTTTTCTCTTTAGCCAACCTCCCCAACATATCATAGATTTTCCGGTGCTGCCGTTGCTCTCATTTACTATAATATTAAAAACACTGCAAAGTCTCATACAACAACAAAACTACCATTACTCAACACAAAACTATGGCACACGACGGCACGATAGACTCAACACCTCTCATCCAACGTCCGAGCATGGACGAAAACACTCAGATTGACGATTCAAGTGTCACACAGGGACTTGTGAGCAACCGCATATCAAACATAGACACGCTGATAGTTGCTGAGGTCGACACTGGAGTCGTGCAGAACAAATTCTCATGGTCCAAACTATGGAAATATACAGGACCTGGTGAGTAGAGAGACTGGCAGCGAGTGGTAGAGAAAAGAGAAGGAAAGAAACAAAGATTTAGATTTACTTTCAGCTGCACTTGAGTAATAATCCAATACAACTTCCCTACCATTCGATCATATATATATTATAGTGGTCAGTACCTGCATACATTCCACGTCTTACTAAAACCGTCTTTCTTTTTATCAAAACAGGTTTTCTGATGTCCATAGCTTACCTAGATCCTGGTAATTTAGAGGCCGATCTACAAACTGGCGCAGTTGCCAAATTTCAATTGGTAATAATTTCCTCCACCTTTTCATAACAAAAAGTCTCGCTCATAGATTAATCATTCACACTTCCATCTGGTTCTACTCTTTCCTTAGCTCTGGTTGCTCCTCTATGCGCATATAGCGGGCCTACTAATCCAGGTCCTCTCTGCCAGGGCCGGTGTTGTCACAGGCCAACATCTTGCTCAACTAATAAGTCGATACTACCCACGCCCCGTCTCTATCGCATTATATTTAATAGCTGAGATAGCAATTATCGCATCCGACATTCAAGAAATCGTCGGCACTGCTATTGCGCTGCGCATACTCTTTAATATTCCACTTTGGATCGGCACGCTACTTACAGCAACCGATACATTTACATTTATGCTCCTTGCAAGTTATGGTGTGAGAAAGTTAGAAATTTTCTTCATGGCTTTGATTTCAATCATGGCTGTATGTTTCTGGATCGAGATGTTTCAATCGGAGCCAGACGTCGGTGAGATTCTGGAAGGCATTATTATACCAAGAGTTCCGAGTGCTGCTGTTGTTCAGGCTGTGGCTTTGATTGGAGCTGGTGAGTGAAATGGGAGACTTCTAATGAGATAGGAGAGTTTAAAAGTAGCATTGATTGTTCTTCTACCAGTATATCACTGTTATTTGCATTTCTTCGTCATATATTACCGACTATTGATTTTAATTTCTCACTCACTGTCTTTCAACTTTTAGTGATCATGCCTCATAATTTATACCTTCACTCTGCCTTGGTGATGACACGTAGAACAGAACGAACATCTGAAGCCAAGATTAAAGAAGCAAACTTTTATTTCAGTATTGAATCTGGCATAGCACTCGGTGTTTCCTACCTGATCAATCTAGCTCTAGTTGTAGTCTTTGGTATGGTGTTCTATACATCTACTTCTGGCAATGCACTCCCTGGACTAGCCGACGCCGCCGATGCATTGTATAAGACACTCGGCGGTGGTGCTAAATACCTTTGGGCTCTCGGTCTGCTTGCCGCCGGACAAAGTTCTACAATGACTGGTACACTAGCAGGACAATACGTTATGGAAGGGTTCTTTGGGAAAATATTCAAAAAGTCCTGGCACAGACTGGCCATCACTAGAGGGATAGCGTTAGTGCCATCGATGCTTGTTGCAGTGTTGGCAGTGGACAATTTCGATACCATGGGAGAACTGTTGAACGTACTGCAGAGTCTGTGCTTGCCTACTGCATTGCTGCCCATATTGAAGATTACCAGCTCGAGAAAGATTATGGGGGCTGCGTTTACGAACAAGAAATTTTGGAAGTTTGCAACCTGGATAATTGCTATTCTGCTGGTTGCCATCAATATGTTCTTGTTCGTTATCTATCTTGAGGAATTACCTTCGCATCGAATAATTGGATATATATGTGCTATAATCTACTTTGCCTTTGTGTTTTATCTTTCAATCTTATCAGTCGGTGATCCTTATGTTAGTGACGATGTGGATGCTGATCTCGAAGGATACAAGGCAATTAGTACTACGACAGGCACGAGGGTTATGAATCCATTTATTACGGGTGAGGGAGAGGAAGAAGAAGACGACGAGCAACCAAAAATCTAATTGTCCGCAAAAACATTGTTTAGAAAAAAAAATTATATATTTTTGTTTGATTTAATCTATTACGCAGGTCAACAATGAGCTGTTTAATTCGTCCCCTTTAAAATATCTAATTTTAATTGTGCCTTGTCTTCGTTTTATTTACAAATTCCGATACTTAAATTTCTTTGCGATAAATCAGACATTTTTCTTTATTAACGCTGTACATATGACATAAACCGACAACAAAATTAAAACTATTACTTTTATCGAATGACTTTACTTCAAATTTGGGTAAAAATGCATTGATTTATCAAGGGGGTTCATATCTTTATATATTAACCAATTTTTCGGGTCATCAAATATAATATTGGTAACTTCATTCCATCTTTCAACAAATCGATGAGCAAGTAATAAGACAAACGACCTTATGAGTTATAAAGGATACAGATCAAATGTTGAAACGTACCAACTAATACTCGGTATTAACGTTAATAATGAAGTGAAGAACTCTCATTTGCACATTAGGAAGTACATCGTATTTATTACAAATCTGTGCGCTTCAGACACCCTCAACTTACCACCCCTTTATTCTCATTGTGTTTTCTTCTCCCATCACATTCAAATGCATCTTGAAGACTCTATCCAAGAGTTGAGGCTCATGTGCTGCACCAATTTCTAAACATTTTCTCTCTGCAAAATCCAAATAGTCTTTCAAGATGGGTCTATAATCAGGATGAGCACATTTGTCTATGATCACTCGTGCTCTTTCTATTGGAGACAATCCACGGATATCGGCTAGACCTTGTTCGGTCACATAAACGTCTAGATCGTGTTCACTAAATTCAGATCGACGGAGATTACATATATGGATTAACGACCGTACAGACGTAAAAGAATAGCTTTCTATTAATACCATTAAATACTCACGTGTGATCTATATGCGAACACATGGGAACTACGCACGAAATTCCTACCAATATGTCAAAATTGTATAATGGTTAGTCCCACAACCCCACTCTCCCATGATTAACATGTCACCCGATGTCTCGTGTTATCCCAGACGAGACACCACGTTAAATCGGAAACAATAAGCCCAACTCAAACTAGCTAGGGTCTACCAGACGATTCCAGCATGTTCGCACGTACCTATCGGATCCTTCTTAGTATGTCGCGTTGACGGCGTGTGCATTATACTTAATTTAGAATTACGGAGGAAATCAGCAGATCCGCCCAACCCATTCAACATTCTCGTTCCGCATACATGTGTCGAATTAGCGTGGCCGTAAATATCAAACTTTTTTTTTCAGCGCGACATGGGTTGAAATTGTGTACATCGTGTAAAAAAAAAAGTTGTATTGGTGAGACGTGATATCGAAATGATAAGCAAGAACGGGAAATTTGTATTGTGAATAGAATACCTCGACTGGCGTGTTCATTGCTATAACACCTAATCTTCGAATTACTTCTGGTGAATTACTGACACTCTGACTGCGTAGCACTAGCCGATCTTTTAAATCATCCCACATATCGTAGAATCGCTTGAAACCGTGAGGGGAAAATGCGACGCTGGTAGCAGAAGCAAAACTAAGTTTGTGATGTTCCCAAAAATCAAGGAATGTATCTGAAAGTAAAAATATATCGTAATGTTTGGTAAGTTGATCAACGAGGACTAATCATATAGTCGAATCGACTTGTGTACCAAAAAATATTTAGTGTCTTTATCTTAAATCAAATTATCACCTTGAATGACCTCAGTCCATACTTCCACGTTATTGAATGGCCCATCGGCTAATCCACCTATTATAGCATTGGCAATATTGCCAACTCCAGATTGTAATGGAAGGAGTGAATTTGGTAACCGATCCATTGTAACTTCGTGTGCGAGGAATTCGAGAATATTGTCGGCTATCCTATGTGAGGTTTGGTCCTATAAAATTTGTTACGTGTTGATTAACCGATAAAACATAGTCGAAACTGTATAGGTTGAGTTACTAGACTTACTTGTGGTTCACTTTCTGCTGTATTGTCTGGGTGTCTTGATTCAATCAAGGCAACTATTCTGTCATCATCGATTGGAATATATGGCTATCATGGAATGGATCAAATAAAACATGCAATCAGATTACCATATCGTTAACTAAATTGGCCGTGATGTAGCTTTTTTTTTTTTACTTTGTTCTCACTTACAGTGCCTACTCTGTCGTCTACTCGCTGAATCAGATTCGGAAACTTATACGGAGCGAATCTACTCAGCGTAATGTCATGAAGACCCTCAAAATTAGGTAGGAAAGTATTCACTTCTACAACGAGTTTAGAAGCTGATTGTACGATCTCTGGAGTGGCACCAACAGAAGCACCAGGAATTATGTGACCCTCTTCGGTGATTGCTGTCGCCTCCACTAGTACAATGTCGAGCTTCTCCATTACATTGCCCTACGAGAATTGAATACAAACGATTGGTAAATAGATCAATGAATCAATAGTTCTGTACGTATGTAAACAGCAATGATTACCTTTTTCTCTAGCGTGTAATAGCCTGATACCAGATCCTACAAATTAAAAATAAGTTAATTACAATATAGAATGTCTTTATCAGCAGACAAACACAGTATAGAATGTTGAGATGAAAATACCAGAGGAAACTCTGATAAATGCTTGTCTGCAAATGCAATCTCATTTCTATTGATTTTTTTCTGGATTTCCTTGCCAGTTTGATAGGGATAGCGGCGCTTTATCATTCCAAGCTATTTTATAATAATTTTTTTGAATTAAATTCAATATAACATGCAATGCGCAGACACTGTCAAGAAGATTGTATACCTTGGCCCATCTTTAACAAAGCAGTGATAATGGTAAGAGAAAAAAGGAAGAAAATTTGAGCATGATGAACGTTTTCCTACTTGTACTACGCTACTCATCAAGATGAAACAAATTTACCTGTCCTCGACCAAGGGACTCGTACTAGCGCCTACAAACAAGTCAAATTGCAATTTATCCTGCAGATTGTTCTTCTCTACGTAATCCGCAAGTGCAACAGGTGTCTCTTTGGGATATCCTACGCCGGTGAACCCAGACTAGAAAGAATCAATAAAATATTAACAGTCGTACAGCTAAATCTACCCCCCCCCACTTCCACTAAAACAATTATTACCCATCCCATCCGCATTCCGTTCTTAAAAATTCCACTTGCAATCAAATCTTTAGCAGTTGTTAATTTTGGATATAAACTGGGCCGACGGACTCGAGCTTTTAAAGCTTCGGTGAGCAAAGTGGATACTGTCATTATAACGTTTACGAGATGAATACGCTTCAGTAGTTTACTTGCAAGTGTCTCGTGGATGTATCCCCGAGGGTTTATCGATTGTCAATGGAAACTATACAGAACGAAAACTTCCCTTTATAACTTATGTTCAAGCAACTGATGAACGCTGTCATGTTAGTGCAAGTATCCAATAAGAAGCCAAAGCGGAAATCGTACGATTTTTTGCGATACAATGAATAGTTTTAAAGAAATGAATGATAGGCAGGTCGGATAGCGCGGCGTTTCGCCCGCATCATTAGATAGTTATTAATGATGAACAGTGGTTGAACTATACCATTCACGACTAAATTTTCTCAATAGTTACCATATTAGTTTTTTTCAACGAAGGAATAGGAATAAAAAATCTCAGGTAAAAACCAACTAGCTGAAGATGAATAAATTGGCTCCCGTATCGATAGACGGGTACTTGCGTTAACAGGCGCTTGCAAGCGAAAACTAGAATTATTGACTCCATATCCATTGCCATTTTGTCACATTGAAATTTGAAATTTTATTAGCGCTATCTAGAATTGCTGCCAAAAAAGCAAATTTGAATAATGATTTCAAAGCATGGCTACTACTACGAAATTTCGCCCGCCGTTAATAGTTGCTCATATGTGAAGTAAAACTTTAGCAATAGAGATTAGTTACAGAAAATAAACAATTAGTTACAGAAAACAAACAATTAGCTATAGAAATTATTCAAGAGTAAAGAAATAACTTGGTGCTGGGACTTGCCTAGGATCCACATACTCCATCTCTCTTTGATAGGCATCATAGATTTCTCTCACACCTGAAAGCAAACCACTTTATCCGCAGTAAAGTCACGTTTTCACTGATAGCGTAAGCCGATGCTTGCTGTGGACAAAACCTTCACCCACCCGCTCATTGTGGTCATCCGAGGTAATGGTAAGTAACGATTTGTGACTCGGGTGTTGGGGACATAGAGTAGTGTGTACATAGGGTAGAGTAGACAGAGTAAGCAAGCAACACATATTTAGCTGGGAGAATGGTTAGAAAATTATTGCATGAGAGACAGTTGGGGGTGTTATTAGTTGGGGCAGAGCAGAGCTAGGTTATATATAAACTCGTTTCAAAGGAGGCAAGAGGTGTTATGAGCAGTGGAGAGAGAATAGTTCGATTGCTGTTATAATGTGTGATAGGTGTTTTTGCTATAGTGAAGGTTATGAGATATATAAACTAAATGGAGTTATAGCAGCCATAATATAGCTTTTATACATTGAAGAGAGTAATATAGTCACTCATGACTCACTCATATTCTGGTTCTCATATATGGTTGATAATTTTTTTTGCTACTACTAGTTACATCTCCTATTCGACGTCTTGAATCTTACGTTGTGGCCGGTTGATGATGCAACCTTTCGGTTTGACCTCCCTGTGAATGAGCTGGAACATCATCTGCCAGCTGACTACTTCCGCGAGATCCAACTGCCTGAGTCACATTCCATTATAAAGCCCTCTTTCGAGTTTCATGGTGATATCCAGCATCATGTGCTAAAAATTTTAAACCCGAAAAAGAAGGTGGCTCTGAAGATGGACTCCACGGTCGCGCAGGACAAATTTCCAGGGGCGGAACTGGCTTGCACCATTATGAATACCGACGAGTCACCCGAAAACAGTAAGAAAGAAGGCGGCGATATACCGTTTATCATTGCCATTGCAGTGGCTCATGATATAGTTTCATTTAACAAACTTAATCGTGCATGTCAGCTGACCAATGAAATGGAAAACTTACATCTTCAAATGGAGATGGCTCAATCGGTTTATTGACCGTCTGAAAAACTTACATCGGCAAATGGAGATGGCGGTGTAATCTTCAATCGGGTTATTGACCGTCTGAAAAACTTACATCGTCAAATGGAGATAGCGGTGTAATCTTCAATCGGTTATTGACCGTCTGAAAAACTTACATCGGCTAATGGAGATGGCGGTGTAATCTTCAATCGGGTTATTGACCGTCTGAAAAACTTACATCGTCAAATGGAGATAGCGGTGTAATCTTCAATCGGTTATTGACCGTCTGAAAAACTTACATCGGCTAATGGAGATGACGATGTAATCTTCAATCGGGTTCCCATAACAAATGGAGATAACGATGTCTCAACCTTCAATCGGGTTAGTGACCGTCTGAAAAACTTACATCTTCAAATGGAGATAGCGGTGTAATCTTCAATCGGGTTATTGACCGTCTGAAAAACTTCCATCGGCAAATGGAGACAACGATGTCTCAATCTTCAATCGGGATGGATGATCTAAGGGACTTGTGGCACAGGGTGACATGAATAGACGGACATTTTACAAAGCAACTCTTCACTTGCATCTGTTTTAGACAACGGATTTCTTCCTAAGCCTTGATGCTATATACAAATTATATGCAGCTTTAATTGCTTCTTTTTTTTTATAAAAAAAGAAAATTTTTTTTCTTATTTTGAAGTTAATTGGCTGTTTCGGATAGCAAATTTTAATACAAGTTTCAAAAAACGTATAGTTTAAAACTCCATTTTGGGGTGTTTAATAATACTAATTTCAGAGATACTGAACAAAGCTTTAAGTGCTAGCTAGAATATGTTATGAGTGCTACTTGTTATAACCAAATTAAAGTAAATTCTCGATCTGTGAGTAGGATCCGCTGAGCTTTAATAAAAAATTCAAGCTTGATAAAATTATATATAGGATTACCTGTATATGATTCCGAGAGAAAAGTTTGCTGAATTACGTGAGGCGTTTCAAGCTCTCTCTAGACCTGAGCAAGACATATTTTTAATTGCCCAGTTGAAAGCAATGAATGGTGGAGAAATAACTGCCAGCCGACGTCTTAAAAAGAAAACGCGTGCTAATAAGCGAACGTTTTACTACTGAGATCGTAATACGTCCCTTTGTCAGAAAACGTATCTCAATATGTTGGAAATTGGCCACACTCACTTCAAAAACGTCAGAAATCATCTAGCAACGAATTGTACAATACTGCGCAATCACGGTAATATCAAACGAGTGCCGCGATGGAAAACCAAAATAACCATTGATATAACCGTTGCTACAACCGTGAAGAATTTTCTCGAAAATTATGCTGAAATTAATTATGCTCTCGATGAAGACGAAATTATCGGCAAGGTCCTAATGGTACGCTGAGCATGGTATTCGATGGAATAAAGAAATTGAATAAAGGCGAAAAGCATTGAAGATTACTTGTGATAATGCAGGTGGACAGAATAAAAGTAATGCTACCATATGATTTTACCTATATTTGATTATCTACGGTTATTATGAAAGTATCAAATTAAATTTTATGGTGCCTGGTCATACCAAATTCAAGTGCGATGGTAGTTTTGGGCTGACTAAAAAGCTCTAGAAAAACAACGGTAGATTGCGTGGATCATATCAGTGTTATGACAATGGAAAAGGCTTTCAATACTTAGATCTCAATTCAGTGTTAGGGATTTTCTTTAAGAAATTGAGTGGTTTGCAAAAATATCCCCATTTTCTATTTAATATTGAGGCAGCTAATCCTGGAATTGTCAAAGCTCAGATGGTTGCCAATGGTGCTTATACTGTATTTAATTTATTGAAAACCAGAAAAGCAAGTGTTTCTGAAATTACCAAAGAAATTAAATATTTTTCAATCCTAGTACTAATCCCTCCGTCTAAAAGGCAAGAGTATCTTTACCAAAGCATTCATGCATTTGTCAGAGATAAATTTAAAGACATTACTTGTCCAAGACCAACATTCTGTATACTAATACTGGCAATGAATAAAATATTTAAACTAAAATCCTCTACATTATTTCAACACCCATTAATTTTCTTGCTGTCAATAAGTTCTTTGTCTAATTTCTCAACAAATATTGCTAGCTTTTCTGCTTTTAATTTTCAAAACTTAAATAAAAGGAAATAATAATTATATTATAAATTTATAAACTATGGGATTTTGTACTTATTGTAAAAATAGAAGACATATAAAAAATTCATCAGAAGTGAGAAGTTCTTCCCACAACTGAAACTCAATGAGTATGTAGTAAATGGTTTATAGACCAATTTAAAAAACTTTTTGCTGAGAAGAAAAAACAGCATATTGCTTGAAAAAATTCAGTAGAAGGAAGGTTAATGAAAATGAGCAATAACTTTCTAATGTTAAAAATCAAGTAGACCAGCACGAAAAAGAAATAAAAGAAACTAAATATAAACAAGACATTTTTGCCGTTAAAACTCAAGTAGACCAAAACTGGAGAAATTAGAAAAGAATAGATAATCAAGAACAACGAACTACAATTTTAGAAAAAAGGACAGAAAAAGTTGAAAAGTAGTATTTTCTTCAAAAACCCCTCCCAAAACCATATACGACTTTAATACTATTTACCACTAAATAGGCTGGCCTATTTTTTTTATAGTTGGTTCTGGCTATGTTGGTTGAAAAGTTTATAAAGAAAAGACTAAAAAAGAAAAAATTGGTCATTATTTAACGGCTATTCGCGAAATATTTAGAGAATGACGATTGAATATGTATGCCTCTACTGGAGCTTGTGTTATTGGTTTTATCCTTATTAAGGAAGCGAATTGAGCCAAAAATGAGTGAATGAATTATTGCTAAAAAATTACTCACTTAATTAGTGGAGTGTGATGCTACGCTATAAACGGGGACGTATTCTCTCCAGCAGTGATACGGCAGTGATACAAGCAAGCATTGCTGTAAAAGTAACAATGTATATTGAGAATCATAGTTAGATAATTAGTAATAATAGCTGCTAAAAATAGATCAATGAAAGATATATAATAATAAGTAGCGTAGATTTCAGTTAAAAAGAAGTAAATAAGTGCATAATTAGAATGTTTTATTCCTTTATTGTAAATAAATGAGTAGTTCTTTATACTCCGAAATACATTGTTATGGTCGATATATATTATGCTCGACGGCGGACTCCTCCTCTACTAACTGAACGACCGTCGGTCCTGCAGGGTGGGTCGTATATTCTTCCGCGAGCTCTCTGTATATTTTTATTTTTATCCCTCTGATTTTCTTCCCTTCTTCGTGTTGCTTCTTCACGTAATCGTACAGCATCTCATCCTCCTTCGCACTAAATCGTGCCCGACATTGCTTTGTCTTCATTATTATTAGTGTTTCAAATTTGGACTTCGTCAACGATAACACGTCGAGATAGAATTGCACTCTTCTATAAATTCATCCCAACTGACGCCTCCGAAAAGCCACTGAAACCTTTCAGCAAAGTCCTATGATTCTTCCCTTCTCATCCACAGCAATGACAGCCGAAAGATCGACTCTGGAATTCTGGTAATTCGAGCAAGTAGTGTTCGAAAAGCTGAGCGAGCAAAGTCTTACCCGCCATTGGCGGAGCACGGACGAGTATAACTCCCTTATTATTATCAGACAAGGCCTGCTGCAACTTCTGAAGAGTAAGTTTTCTCTTACAGACGACCTCGTCGCTCAAACCAACGCCCTCGTAGCCTAGACCGCGTTCAGATCCGTCCATGAGGGTACCGCCCAAACCACCTGTGAGTTGTAGCAAAGTGTCGTATGTGCGTAATGGCGGTAAAGGTTTGTTGCGTTGTATATTGACTTTTCGATAACGTTGTATTTGCGCTTTGGAGGAGGAGAGCAGGAAGCTGTGATATTGAAACTGCAATAATCTCAGAAATACTTTCACACAAGCGATAGAGCATTCCTCAAACACTTTCAAGAAACTCCACTACATAATTGAATAGTATTTTATCCGTCGCGCATTTCAACTATCCTCCCAAAAACGTGTATTCATTGCTTGCTTACCTTGTTTTGACTCGTTATACTTTCGAATAGCTTCTTCTTCGGTGACACCATAGTCTTTCATATATTGATGAACAAATCTAACAAGCTCGAGTTGGTCCGTGTTGTCAAGTTATAAAGAACGCGTGTGCGCGTCTGCACATCATGGGGCAGATCACGTTGTGGAACAATTGCAGCATCAAATCAGATTGTCCCTGTGATTTCTTATTGCAAAGTGTAGCTTACGTATTTACTGCATGTGATCATTCGTCTCTGATTATCAGATCACGGAAAAATTTGAAGTATTTCGTCGTACGACTAGTCCGAATACCTACATTTAGAGCGTTGTCTTCCAACAGCTTCCCTTGCGTTGCTCCTTGCTCAAAAACTTTCTCAACGCCATTTCCATCTCCTCGAGCTCATCCTCAAGTTGGATATGCGCGTTAAAAAAATTTCCCGTGATTGTACGGCGTACTGCGGCGTTGATTACGATCATCTGACGTGTGTCATAAAAGGCCGGGCATATGTCGATGTCGAAAGTTGAATAAAGAATGACTGAAGTTGTTTTAAAAGAACAACGGTACGGTAAAGACCGTGTAAGACTTATTAAAGTCATACGAACGGGAAAATGGCATGAAGTTATTGAATTGACTGTAAGAAATATCATCACATTTACAACCAACATGCTGACAGCCATCAGAGAAATACTAACCGCATTCTAATCCTAACAAGGTCCGAGTACTTCTTGAAGGCGAGTTTGAAACTTCATATACGCACGGCGATAACTCCAAAGTCGTCGCTACCGATACGATGAAGAATACGGTTTACGTACTCGCAAAGAAGACTGTCAATATCAAATGCATCGAACTCTTTGCGACCGAAATCGGAAAGCATTTCGTTAACACTTATTCTCACGTGACTAAAGCTAGTGTTTTGATTACAAAGCATCGATGGACAAGAATGCTGGTTGATGGAAAGTTACACGATCATTCGTTTGCGAGAGACGGAGAAGAGACAAGGATTACGGAGGTTGTGGTAAAGAGAGATAAAGTGGAAATAAAATCTGGCTTGAAAGGGTTGTTGGTTTTGAAAACGACTGGTTCAGCTTTTTATGGGTTTCATAGAGATCAATGTAAGTAGATGTTCTCAACCCGACTATTCTCACACTTGATAAAATTTACCAGCTGGCAAAGATTGATATTCACCTTTTTTTTTTTTTTTTTACTTTATCTCTAGATACAACCCTTCCTGAATCCACAGACCGCATCCTGTCGACGGTGATAGATGCAACATGGACATATTCCATTCCTAATCCAAGTGCAATAAGCAAGATTCCTTATTGTACCATATTCGACTCGATACGCAAACTCACTCTTGATACTTTTGCTACGGATGACAGTGTCTCGGTTCAAGCGACACTGTATCTAATGGCAAAAAGAATACTGGAAATTCACAAAGAAGTCACATCCGTGTCTTATGGATTGCCAAACAAACATTGTTTTGCGTTTGATTTGGAGAGATTTGGATTGAAGAATTCAGGAGCGGATACGGACATTTATGTACCTTTTGAGGATCCATCAGGTGAGGGAAAGCGTTTTTGAAGTGTTTCAAGTAGCAGTCGGACGCAATCGTTTAACGCAGAAGAAAATATTGAATTATTTCTTGTCTTTTTTTATGACAGGTTTGATTACCGCCACTGTTGAACGAGTGAAATCAAAGTTGTAATGATCAAAACACTGACATGTAAAATTATTGAATGAAGTCTTGCCATTTGTAATAGTATATGATAAGCGAATAACGTGTTAAGAGATGGTGACAAGTATAGAAGAGTATGTAGTGTGAACGGAGGCAGAGGACCATTGGCAATTATTTGATCAATAGCCTACCCTTATTGGAATCTCATTGTAAAATACGAACTGAACGTGCAAAAGGCCCATTAGAATTGAGACTCTAAGCCGATACCCGAGCAAGAGCATTTAGGCATAGACGACCTAAAGTGATGGGCTTGTCGAGGAACTTGAATAGCTGTACGTACTGTACGGTTTGATTTTGGGTTATAGATATTTAACGAAAGATGGTTTCTGAGTAAAAGACATTATTTATAGTGAAAATTAATGTCTGACATTCTTGGTGGGATCGGAATTACAGGCGAGATTACCTGAATCTTGACCGACTAAAATAACCAAATACCACACGGAACACGTACTGTCTATTCACATAACGAAAGTATGAATCTTTTGTCGTTTGTAATAGTTTAGAGAAACGTATTGAAATCCAGTTATGTAACAAGTAAATTTTTTCTAGAAAATAATTGTATGTTAAAAATTGGACTTGAATTGGTGGAATGCTCGATGAAAATAATAAGAGCGCGTAGTCCATTGCAAAGAAGCTTTGAGAACGCGGACGCGGCTTAATTAATTTACAAATACAGTTAAGTAAATTATCAATATAGCATAACAGCAAATATACCTGCGATAAGGCTAATACTAAATAAGCATTGTGCTTGTCGAAGACAATGCACAAAGTATCGACATAAAGATCAACCCAATGTCTGTTAGCGTTGGATGCTTTGTGAATTAATTCACAAATATACAGATAAAAACAGTTGGGTTCTTTTATAGTCCTAATATAATGGAACATGTTGTTGTACGAAAAGAACTTGAGTCACTTAACTTGTGATTGTTAACAAAATCTGCAACTGGGAAATATATTGATAGTTCGAATGCATATACCGTGGGAAATATTATTCATCTTCGATATGGTGATAGGAATTAATATTGCGATTTCAGTACCATGTTGAACCAATCGCTAGCAACCAATCATTACTAAAAGTCTTGACGAGTTTTTTTTATCTCAGGACGAACGCAAAGTTCAGGAAGAAATAAAGCTCCAAGTTACAGCATTCAGAATATTGTTACAGACTGGAGTTTCTATTGAATCAGAAATATAGACTAGTGTACGATCTCTGATAATCGACATTTGTCAATGTAACACAAATGATCCGCAATGCACGAACCACCAAACATAGATCATCAACTCTCACGTGTCCAATCTTTAGAAGGTATTCCGTTAGTATTAGCGCTAGATATGTATTTAATCCAACAGGGATACTACTGAACTGCAAGGGCTCAAGAAAGAGACAATAAAATACTCTTTATGTAGGAACATCAAAAAGGAGTACCCTTACACAAACATACTTTAACTAATATAACACATGCACTATGACGACTTGCTATTTATTGTTAACCCAACAAGTAGATCAAATAGTTTTTCTTTAAAAGTTGCCGGCTGGTATTGTCGATTGATAAGTGTTACTTCAATTATAAATATGTTTGTAAACTTGGAATCTTCTTTAATTCTTTATTTATGACTCATTAATACTAATACGCTTTGTTAGCATTCGAATAAATATACCTGGTCAACCAATGACAGATGATCGTCTTATCATCTCATTTGTAAAACATCCCACCTGCTGTATTTGTCACACTATATTAAGATTCGCTGCGAATTTACTGTAGATTCTCACGGTCAAATACAATTTCTAAAAGCGGTATAGCTGGGCACTGTACAAACCAACAATAGGACTAACTGACTCATTGATAAGGCTTACCATTACGGATAGACCCCTTTGCAGTATACAACCGTTTTTTTCCAAGTGATTATGACGAATATAGATTTCCTATTTCATACGTGACCACCCAATAATAGTACGAGTCCTACCAGTTTTTCAAAGTTTGAAATAATCAAGTCAAAGACCTAATTTACCCCTGAATTCTGCATCGGGTCATGCACGGTTCCCGTGATCATGTAAAATACTTGCGTCATAAAGGTCTTTTGCGCCGTCAAAGACCCGAAAGGCGAGTATTTTCCGTGTTCTCTGTTTTTTGCATTCTAGTATCGACCTAGTTCAGACTTCTTCTGTCGGTTTAATTTATCCGTGGTATATTAATATTGTCCGCGTGACTATCCTACCCGGTTACTGCGAAAACAACAATCCATCTATATTCTATTCAAATAAATTCTGCCAATACGGCAAACTTTATGCGGGTGTCTGCTAGATACTATACATATTAATTGTAAAAATAATTTTCATTCCAACAACCCCCTCATCGTCCTCTTTTCAAACTGTATTGTAAACCGGTCTACATCTATCCATAAGTAATCATAGCAAAGAAGTGATAATCGTTTGTATGGCTACGCGATACGCGCAGGCTTCAACTGGCAGTCCAGTAGGCGTTGGCGACGAAGCAAGTGATAATCAAGGCGAACGATATGAAAGTCCCGTGCTGTTAACAGGAACATCCACTCCAGCAGGCATTGGTTAGTCATACTTTCTGACTTTTTTTTCGTATGAGTGAACTCCTCTTCAGGCAAACACGAGATGTTGCCCTAATATAGCGAACGATACATAATCGCCAATCAATGGTATACTCTTGGCGTGTTCACTCTCGTCATTACTACACTAATAGCACTTGTTCTTCACCTTCTATACTCTACCTTTCCGGTTGCGTAAAACCTCGCATTACCTTACAACAGGTTCATGGGTTTCGCTTTCCCCTAATATTCATACTTCTGATTCAGATCTCGAGGCATACCAAGCTGATAACGACGACGACTTAATATCTGATTCCCCAGTAGAAGATCAGGAAGAGAGACCTCGTGGTGTGTTGAATCTTCCTAGAAATATAGAAATCGAACAAGAAGAGGCTCTAAGAGCAAGGTAGGGAAGGCTCGTGTTTGTTATTAACTCGAGATAAATGGTGTCGCAGAACCATTCTTCGTTTGCCAAATACTGGTTTACCTGAGCCTCCCCCCTACCTTTCCTTCTCTCTCTCCCCCTTACCTCTCTCCCCCTTACCTCTCTCCCTCCTCCTCTTTTTTTTTTATGATACCTGCTTTCTCATGCCTATCAAATACATCCTGTTGTGTCATTTAGTCTATCAACAATACTCGCCTCCTCAGAAAGACCAAGATTCCGCCAAGCCCGCGAACGTGAACTCCGCGCCCGAACAGCAAATCGCTTTCGTACACTCGCCACTAATCCCACAAATCCCTCACCTTTATTCTTCCCTCGTGACACATCTCCACACTTTAATTCCACATCAGTAGTCACGAATGATACTTCAACATCTGCATCATCCTCAACCGCACATAAATATGTGCAGCCAATAATTCACCACCGCACAAGCGTCCGACACAGTCGTGGATCAGTGTCACCACCGTTCCAAGATAAAGCTGAAGCTATGATCGAGCGTAGTTTCAACACTAGCCATTCACCTCGTATTGTCTATTCTGCCCCATCATCGCCACCGACGACGTCGTTCCTGGAGACCGGCAGTGACCAATTGACTAAAAGTGATGATGAAGAGGAAGAGCAAGAAGAGAGCTATGTTTCTGAATCATCCAAGAGCAGGCGTCGGAATCTGAACAGACAACAAGATGAAGAGGATGGGCAAAGTAAGACTAGCAATAGTACGAGTGAATACGAAAGCGTTTCTTCGCTGTCGTTGGATGAAATCAGCATTTCGAAGTCTGCGCGGAAAAATTGGAAGAAGGAAAGTGGACATAGTGTTGATGGAAGTAGCGACGATGGGAATAAGTGGTATGTATTAGTGCTGAATGGAAATGACAAAGACAGAATCAAACGCGCGGGGGGGGGGATATGGAAGTGGTAAAGAACGGGGAAAGGAAAGAATATCGGCGCTATAGGAGAAATATGTACAATCTTGTTTAGGTGATTTCGCGTTGTAAATTCTGATTAACCGTGCTATTTAACTCAGGTATAGCGGAGATATTACCGTCAAGGTGTGGACGGCAGCAGTTATATCCGGAGTACTACTGGGTGCTGGTTTCGGTGCCGGGTAATGTATTATGAAATATGTCAGTTCTCCAATGTCTAGTTATTCATACTCATTACTTCCCTTTTAGATCACTATGGCGTGGATCAAGAGCTGGTCACTATACTGCCACACCCGCTTAGAATCTAATAATTCTTATCTACAGAGCGTCCGCTTCGAGAGAGTGAACGGTTGGGACTTGTACGATTTCATTGAACTTTTGTTGTCGGGGATAATTTGGATACAGATACGGGTGAATAGCCTATGCAGACAATGTTTTTAGGAGGGTTCTTTATTAAAAAGTATTTAGATTAGTTTAGTAGATTAGTAGTATTGCGTTCGATATTTACTATGTTGTGCACAAATGCTGAATAAGTATATAAAGTTGCTGTTTCTATACATTAAAAGAATCGGGCCGTTAGGAGACTAAATTCTAAACCGTACCGAGAGTTGTTTTCGACAATTATATTCGGGCAAAACGGGTTCCAGAGAAACGTTTAGTCATCACCAGATGCCTCATCCTTGACAACTATTATTAGTCACTGCGATTGACAAAGGGCAAATTCAAAATACATTTATACAATTATTAGCAGAGTACAAGGACAATCAGTAATGTCTCGATTATTCTCGTAGCTCGAGTTGTTTAATAGTTCATGTAACCTTCACAATTACGTAATGAAACCCTTTCCTGAGGACAAGACATCTAAATATCAATCTCTTAATAGTCACGTATCCTAAGGCACACGTGACATAAAATATTATCTAATACATCAAAGATGAAAATATAATAAAGCAACACGCCTTCCCGCCCATCGACCGCACACACCTAATCACTGGCCTCGGTTGGTGATTTATCCGTCTGTTTTGATTCCTCGCTTTTTGTTTCTGCCTTGTCAGATTCCTTGCTGGAATCTTGTTCTTTATTTTTAGTCTTATTCATTAACTCAGTATTGATTTCTCGGACCTCGAGGAACTTCTCTTTAAAGGTGTTCGCATCTGGCAAGTAAACAAAGACGAAGTCAGAAAGTAGCAAAAAGGGATAAAATCTTGATCAAAACAAAAGTAGACTTTTCAAAACGGCAATACTAGACACTCTATTCAGACTGTATAACGTGGTGATAACTCTTTCAATATTACATAAGAATACGTTACTTACTTTCTGGATTTGCAAATCGAATAGCTAATGTTTCTGCCTTGGGTTCGCCATCCGACACATCAGCAGCGACACTCCAAACCCAGGAACGGTCTGAACCAACATTAGGCGAGAGTTGCATTTCCGGCGTGACTGAAACAGCGAGCATCATATAATACGTTAACAAAGCATTAATCACACCATAGAGACCCAAGAAACAGAGCTCAATTTCTTTCACGTCAAAATCAAACATAAAAATTTCTTCAGATAACTTACCATAATGATTAGCACATACTTTGTGTGTCTTATCTCGTCGCATTACCAAACGGACTTTCTTAGTTTCCTTGTGTTGAAGAAAACGCACATCACCAATTCCACGCTCTTTCCATTCCTTTAGTGGCTTGTCAAATCGAAACAATTTTGCTCGCCTGTTTTAGGTTGGATATGAAACATGCAGAATGATTGTGAACGGACAAGCGAATAGGTAAAAGCATAAACAACAACAGACATTGGCAAAAAGAAATTCAATAAAATAATAATAAAAATGCAAACAAGAAAAAAAAAATAGTTGACGCATTTTTTGAAATCTTCATGTTACGACAAACAGGTCATCATACATTTTAAATAAAACATCTTCATCTTCCTCAAGCGTCTTAATTTCCACTTGGCTAAGCTTGATGACTGGTTCAAACTCGACTTCAGGCGACTCTGGTGCTTCTTCCTGCATCCAGACGAAATATTACATGATTAGTAAACATTTCCAATCGAACAACTTCTAATTTTCCATAGATGTAGTAAATTCTTTTTCCTTTTCCCCCTTTGCTTGTCGTCCCCCATTCCTCCCCCTCCTTCTCCCCCATTAATCTAATCCTCCTGGCACAGCAACATTCTCTCGTGGAATAACGCGCGTAATACACACTTAATCACGCTCTCCCATGTTCATACCTTCTCCTCTTCGTGCGCTGTGGCCGAGGGCCCAGCGGATTTATCTTCAGCGTCTGCCATAGATGCACAGTGGTTGGTAAGAACGGTGAGGAAGGGAGGGAAGGTATGGAAAAAAAACCGGCGGTTTAGCAGTGAGCGTGCGTCATTGGTTGCGCAGCATTTATCAATCAAAAGAATGTTGAGTTTTTTTTATGTGACGTAATATGGAATACAAAATTGCCGTAGTAATAACGCCATTCCAGGGCAGGGCTCTACTCCAGGGGGAAGTTAAATCATGATCAGGCATTCCAGGCATTCACGTGCGATGGTAATCTCACACTAATCGCTCTAATATCATTCATTGTTGTAGGATGCAATCATATTAACGTTTCGGTTACAAGTATTCGACGCATACCAGGCAAATGACAGTTTATTATTATTGGGGGCAGTAAAATGATGCAAGCAGGCTGTTGTGATGACTACTTGACGCTAGCTAGGTGTGACAAAATTGGTGATTGTTACCAAGGTTATTTACAAATTGTGGATATTACATTATTGGAACACAAAACGATAATAGTGTTAAGGTTATGTGTATTATGTACGAACCATCGTTTTTGGCTCAATTGCACAAACCCTATTACTAAATTTTGGGAAATGTCTAGTGACGACTAATTGATTGTATTTTGAAGAAAACGATATATTTAGTCCCATTATCGTTTTAAAGCTGCAGTTCGCGTAATCCAAGCTGAGATTGCAAATAGTTTAAATAGTCGATTGTTCCGTAGCCAAGAGACTTGCAATAATAGACTCTTTAGTTTGCCCAGCCATACCATTCCGACAATTTGGTGTGCGAGAGTGTCATTGAAGCCCGCGTCGTTCCATTCAAATAACAAAGCCTGGCATTTCGCGAGTGTTTTTATCTTTTCGGAGTAAAAATATTGGGGCTTTGCAAAACCATTCTGGAACTAAAGTAAAGTACCAATTAACGTGTAATATAACGTACAAGAGATGATTTAGCTGCTAGCAAGTTTGTGAAGTTTTATCACTAAATAAATACTTTAGGGATGGTTACCTTTATCGTGAACAAACTTGAAGAGGTTTAACGATGATATGTTTATGGGCTCTGGCAAAAAAAATAATAAGGACTATAATCAATTGCTACATTCAACAATGCGGTTTCGTTTTTCGCTTGATAATTTTTTATATTTTATTCAACCACGTACACTACCTGGACAAAATTCGTCCACATACAAATTCATTAATTGCGCAAACTACATAAAAATGTTTCATAGACCAATAAGTTTCAATGCCTTGGTTTTTAAGACGTAATGAAACTGGTAAGCCGGGAGAATTTCGCTTTAATCTTGCCTGGACGAAATTTGAAAAATGCGCCCAGCCACTCCAGCATGACTGTTTTGTATTGCCGCCGCCATTGCGAGGCCGCTAACTGGCATGGCTGATATATTTATCTGGCTCCAGCCATGCCATGTTGTTAACATACGATATTTCAACTAAAAAGATCCACTCCAGCATGAGCTGTTTTGTATTGCCGCCGCCGTTGCGAGGCCGCTAGCTGGCATGGCTGATATATTTATCTGGCTCCAGCCATGCCATGTTGTTAACATACGATGTTTCAACTAAAAAGATCCACTCCAGCATGAGCTGTTTTGTATTGCCGCCGCCGTTGCGAGGCCGCTAGCTGGCATGGCTGATATATTTATCTGGCTCCAGCCATGCCATGTTGTTAACATACGATATTTCAACTGATGAAGTGCGGCGGAAGTGGTGGTGGTGGTGGTGACAGTGCCGTTTGTATCGTATTTGACTATTACATTTGACAAGTAAACAAATGTCACGTCTTCATCTTCATCTATGGTAATAGATTTAAGGCTATGTATTTTCGAAGTAACGATATATAAATCAATATTTAGTTAGCCATCCGTTGTTTGTAATAACTGCTTCTAGTCTTTGTGGCATACTTTCTATCAGGCCCCATTATTACCTGTAATCTGCTTCTTATTTTCTTTCCACAAATGCTCAATTGGATTTAAGTCAGGAGACTGACTTGGTAAGGCCTGCGGTTTAGTTCGGACTGACTTTCTCGAAAATGGCTCGGCAACATTAACATTCATTTAATCACACTAAATAAACTGTTTTCTTTTAAAATCCGTTGCTTGACAGCTTTAGCAGTATAGGACTGGAAGCTTACGGGTTATGAATTTTCTTGATGATGGGGAATGGTGGTTTTTAAGTGATCGCCACGAAGTGTTTCATCTTGAAACAAAGTACCCCTTAAATTCCTTATTTATCAAAGGTAATAGATGCTTTTGGTCCAAACTTTCCTGTTGGAACCACATTTCAATATTAAATCGAGCCGTCATTTTTAAATATTGTAAATCTGCTCTGGGCGTCATAATATAAGGTAATTTTTTCGAAAGGACCTGCATATTTCCGGTTTGCTGATTACTTATTATTATGAAGGACATCGAGTTTATTTATATAATCTAATGTTTGTTATGTTTACAAATAACACGAAATTTGCACACGCGTTTCTTCAGAACCAACGCAATAATACATTAATATTTGAGACATAATTGTTATGCGTAGTTTTGTACTAGTTTTTTATGGGCGAAAGTCTACAAGAACTTTTATTTGTACAGTTATAAAATAGAATGCCCTGACTGTTGAGAAGAATTGAAGACAAAACACTAAAACGCGAAAATAGGTTTCGGCTCTGTGCGGATGCATTTTTCAACCAAGTAAAATCCGAATTATTGCAAGGATAATCATATTGTGTTTGAATTCTTATGCCTTCTATTCAATTAACATGAAGATTTGTTGTGGATTTCCTAACGGTTTCGTGCGAAAACCGGATTCCGTTGCTTTTGCGAGATTAAACTGTATATATACTGATACGCATATACATACAATTTACACCATAAATTTTGGGACTTCGATCTCATGAAAGCAAAGTGATGCCTGTGTTTTACACGCGGTAGAGAGGAGCAAAGACGTTCATTATTCCCATCATATATAAGAACCAGCGATACACTTTTATGTATTGTAAGCAATTGTCCTAATTTTAACAAGTGTCCCTACAGAATCTACAGCTTACGGTGTAAAGTAAACCCTTCTGAAAATATTAAAAAAAAAAAACGGTTTATAAAACAAAGAATGAAGGGGAAAAAAATTCTTACAATTAACACAAATTCACGATTGTGTCAGCACAGTTAAACATTTAAATGAAATTGTCACTTTTGCAAAAGTATTAAAATGTTTGTAAAAGGTGTAATGTCTTTTCCGGTGAGAAAACGTCACTACCCCCAAACGTTCTTTTTCCAGATGTCGTCCTCGTATTCAGTTCCAAGAGGCTGTTGGGGTCCTTCCTGCTCTTCCTCTTCCTCCTTCTCGTCCGTATTCCTCACAACCTTTTCTGCAACGCTTATTCTCCTGCTTATATCTGACATTCCAGGCATTCCCAAGATAAAAGGATCAAGTACGCTTATAGCCGTAAAAGATGGCCGCTCGCTTGAAGTTGACGCCGACGGAATCATATCGACATAGCTTTCCAATTTCTTTCCTGTCTCATCTTTAACAATCAAATCTACACAGCCGGTACGAAATGGCGGTACATTCGTCTCGCTCAACTGACGCACCTTCTTTTCGCCATTTGCCGCAAGCAAATTATTCGTATCTTCCTCATCATCACTTTCTGGTTCAAATACATTTCGTAACCCTTTATCCTTTCCCTTTTGCTTCCTCTTCGATATAGTGTATTTTCTCTTGGGTTTTGGTCTCGTGTGCCCAACGACCTCGGTCGTACTTATAACTGGGAAATTATAATCCCCATGCTCGCCTAATTGCCGGCTGATCTTGTACATACTTTCCACGTCTTCGTCGAGAGAGTCAGGAAAGTGGAGAGATTGGCAATCATCGGGAATTGCAGAATTTCGTTCGGTAAGCCAGTGCTTTGTTGTGCCGCCACCATATATACGCAGGCCGGCATTTGCACGCTTTGCGCGAGATGGACCGGTATGTGCCATGCCTTCGGCGGGTTCGAAAGTGCGATAAGTAAAGTCTCGACCATGGATTATCTCCAGCGTGTCTTCAAACACATCCTTTGTTCCCATCGAGTCTTTAAAAGCATAGTAAATTGGCATTCGAGCGGATTGTATTGTTGGATCTATGTAGTCTTTATAGGAGTACGCATACCTTTGGTTAAATTTGTGAAAACGTCAGAGGAGTGTTAGCGAAATTAAGTAGGAAGAGAACGAATCAATGATAAAATTTTCCAAATATTCACCAATGTCCCGCGGCAGCGAGCGCCATTTCCATACATATCAAAAAATCCTGAATTGCAACGGATCTATTCTCAGCTGACAATTGTCCTGCATCTATTGATTCAACAAACATATAATTTAGGTTGCGTCAGATATAGGCTTGAATGTCATTTCGGCGCAACGCATTCCCACAGAATCCTGATGCCCTGTCTGTTTTATTCACACATCATAATAAAATCTACCAACACATGTTACATACCATCTCCGTCACTTGACTCTTTACTATCACTGATTATTCCAAGCCAAGATAGAATAGCCAAGCCGAGGCCTTGCCAGAATGAAAAGAAGATAATCATTTTGACGCAGACGAATTTAGGGAAAGGCCTTTTTTTTTTTTTTTTAAAAAAAAAAAAACAAAAACATTTGAATGTTTAGATAAATGTCCGTTTTCATATCCAAGTTCCAGACTTGTTGCCAAGTCCTATCTCACCGCAACTCCTTAACTTTACCTGTAAGGTGCCAGATCGTCCTTCAAAACCGTATAAAAAATCACCAAGCAGGCCAAACAAAGTGTACAGCTAATATTATAAATCATTGCAATCCAAAAATACCCGCTCTTCATCGAGATTGTTCCATCGTTATACGTCTCGTTCCACTTTAGTATCATGGTGGCTGCAGCTAAGAGCGGTTTGAGATAAACATATTGGAGGATACTTCGTTTTAAAAAGAGAAAAACGCGAGGATCTGACATGTCTATTTCTTTGATGAATAAGCGAATGAAGCCAGTCGTGACTAGAGGTGGGCGGCCATGAAGGAAGATTAAGAGAGAACGATCACCGCCGAGATAGTTTACAAGCAGGTTGAAGAAACAATACATTACGAAAGCCTTAGGAAATAAATTGCAAATAGAGAATTGATTATATATTTGTAACAAAAGAAATGGCAAAATGGTGTTGAATGAATATAGAGAAGAAATGCGAAACTGATCCAACAATTCCCCATTATCTTTATACTTTCATTCGCCCTTCCCACATTACCCGTGTTCCTACGAAATTCTATTGACAAAATTTCTCTACTTCAATTTACCTCATAAATATCCCGAACCGCATCCAAGTAGAATGCCGTGCGTAATGAAATCAGACTTATCCACGATGATATTGCATATATCGGTACCCTGTGTGTAATATAATTTAAACATAAAAAATGTTATCCTAATCGTAATAATGGATCAATGCTAGCGACAATTGAAACATTAGGACCGGTGAAGTGTCTGTTGTTGCAATTGGGGGTTAGTATGAAAATCTTACATTGCTATTATCCTTACGACATATCTTTGAAGATGCTAATTGAAAAAGTCAAAGGGTTGTTGTCAAGAAATGAAATTAGTAAACTTGTAATGACTTGCCTATGTGTACGTATGTTCGAATTGTTATTTTAAAAACATGGATTTTTCCCTCACATATCTTTCCGTATACGTGTTTTTCTATTAACGTTTCACCTCACTTCCTTTCACGTCTTCCCGGCGTATCTCCACTTACCGGTTTCCTATAGTTCTTTAAATGTGACCATATGGCCATTACAGACAAACCAGTGGCTGTCCATGCAAAGAGACCAGCGATTCGGACATAGCTTGGGTCTAAATACTGTCCTGTTCCGCCGTTATCAGCTGATACGGATCGCTCAGACATTGGAGGTGGTGTGGGAGATGGTAAGTGTAATAAGAGGACGAAATTTGGAGGTGGGTATGAATTTGTGATGGCTTTAACGGCTCGTTACCGTTTTCGAAGTGCAGCTGTGCTTCTTTGCTCACTTTCCCAACAATGAACAAAGCTGGTGAGAAAAACTATTATCGAAATTCTATTATTCTACAATATTACGAATGGTATAAATACAAAACTCTGCTGTCAAAGAAATCTCTAGACTGGGCGAAAGTCCAATTCCAATTAACCAACGTAATTGGTTCTTCCGCGAACAGCAAAGCGATAATTTGTTTGCTATGCAACCTAGTGGCTTTATATAAAAATCTCTATGATCCTATTCTTCTAGTCTACTCTTTTCCCTTACATTCCCTTGCTTAAATATGCCCAATCGTATGGATCAAGTGTGGGGGTTTTCAATTGTTTGATGATAAAATTTGGAAAATCGTGTAACAAGTTATGATCAAAATAGGAGGGGAATATTGTTTGCAGTTTTTGAATGGGAGCCAATTACTAATTCTGTGGAGCAAAGCGCTTGTAAATTCCTCCGCTCAGCTTGCAAGAAATCTGTGCTCAATGCAAACGGTCGTTTGTGTGGGATGGCAGGCTGCGTGAATTTAATGGACAATAGTTAATATGGGCTGATTCGAATTTCACGTGGTTTTCTCGCTTGCGTCTGGTTGTCTTAACTATATTGGGAAAGAAATCGGTCGTAATCTCACGAGGTGCAGGTTAGCATTTTCTCAACAAACAATTGGCGTTGGAATCCTTACTCGTCAACAAAGCCACCTCCCCTTCTTGAATAGCTTCGACTATATTAGGAGTTCGCAAGATGATATTGATCTATTACTATGTAACAACACACAATATTTATGCTGGTTACACGAATCGCATTTTGAACTATTACTACATCTGATATTATTACTCGCGCTGTAATTGCTTGTGTTACAATCATATGGTCGACGTATATAAAATTCAGTAGTACAAATTTCAAATAGCATTTGCCTAAAGAGTAGAAGAGCAGAAACCGGGCACATTTATTTATAGTAATAGGGATTGCTTTGAAGGGATGAATTGTTGGCTATGCAATAATAATGATGGACTACTCATAACGCCAACTATAGTTAAAGCTAAGATGACCCTCATCTCTCTTTGTCGGCACTAAAATAACTCAATTGTGGCAGAGAGAAACATCAATCTTGAAAATATTAATTGAACTCTTGTCATTTTCACATGCGAAAATTGTGATGTTGATTCTGGAGTAAAAAGTAGTTTAATTAACTAAACTATATTGTTTACAGATGAGTAATCTTAGCTAAAGCAAACTTCTGGGAAAAATGTAACGTACAGCAATCTCTAAACTTTATGTGTTACGCTTCAAGCTTGTATTGGTAATGCTGTATAGAGAGGGTCGCTATGCAGCTAGCTTTGAAAATGGATTTTGGTTACGTACGGAAATTTTCCAATAATAGTTCATGTCTTTATTATTATTATGTGTATGATTCCCACTGTCGTCAACGATTATTCTGGAAGGAATCTTTTCCCGTCCGTCTATTAATTAAGGAGGTTTCGATCTAGCAATAATAGTAATAGGGAGCAGTGGTCGAGGTATAGATGAAGCGCTCTTAAATGAAGAAATAGTTGCTTTTTGTTTTGTTTTTTAATTCTAATTAATATTATACTTCACTGCCGTATTTCGAAAATATGAAATGTTAAGGTTATGAGAATGTGCCAGAAAATTCAATCTTTATAGCGTTTAGACTTTTTCTCTAACTGTAATATAGTCTTATAGAACCGATGACGGACAAGCTGATAAATAATGAAAAGCAATTGACAGAGGACGATTCATTAGTCAATACAGTAAGTTAATATGCTGTAGATAGATTATGTCCATAATATTTAGAGAACTGTTAGCTTGCGAGCAACGGGTAACTTAAACAGGATTCTACAGGAGGATAATACTTTAAAGCGTTAACTCAATGTTGAAAAACGGAAGAAGTGCTAATGTACTGGCCAGCAATGACATGTGTAAAGTTCTATGTAGAATTTAAAATTAAGCCGTATAATAGGAGAATTCTCATGTTTTCAAAAGACGTGGGCGTGCAAATAAATTGCGTATAGAGAGTAATAATCTTTTGATTATTAGTAGTAATAATGAACATATAGTAGTACTGTTAGGGCAGCAATTGTTCAATCGCTTGCATAGCTTGTATTTTCCCCATATAGCCCATAAATTAAACGCTGCTGATAAGAGTTTAATGTTTTTAAACATCAAGTAAAAGTTCAACAGACGTGCAAAATGTAATCTTCGTTTTTTGTTTATTCTTTGTGTCCTAAAAAGCTCATAATTATTAAGCTGGTAAAATTATGTAATTTTTACTATAAATACGCAGTTTTGTCTATGAGTTAGCGCTAGTAACAATGATGTGAAAATTGATAAAATTTAGAAATGGTTTGTTATTAGAATAGTAACAAAACAACAAAGATTATTAATAATACTTACAAGTATCCCTCAAAGTCTATTGTCGGCAAATTTGCGAACTCACCAACAAAATTGCTTTATATCATCTGATGTTACTAAGTATTAGAATTACGAATGAAAGCTCTGAAGATGTAGAAACAATGCAAGGGTTTAAAAAAATGGGAGAGGGAAGTTGGAGAGGAAGTATGAGTTTAAGGGATGTACTGTAAGTCTGTCTTCAAAGGTCATTACTCCTCAATGGCTCATCTGTCTTCGACTCTATAAATTCATAATAAAGTAACAAAAAAATTTAGTCTACGAATATAATACCCTGCCCCAATAAAGAAAATTTAGGAATTTATTTTTCCGTCACATATTCTTTAATATGTGTTTACATCTCCAGGACAAGCTAAATTACTATTCTTAATGAAATAGCATAATAGTCACAAAATTAAGGGTCAGATACACTGTGTCGATTTTTGAGAGTGTGTCAGGCACAGAAAATGTGTCGATTTTTCAGTGTCAACACAAACACCATTTGCTAACTTAGAAGTTGTCGCTAAAGTATATAAGCAACCTTATCCCATCGTCGAATTCTCATGTTGTTCATGTTGTCTATTGTTGTCTAGTTCATATTGTTAAAATAACAGTGCCCATCCACGGAAGAACAATCAAATAAATGATTCCCTTTGAAATCGAAATTTTACTTTCCTTCATCGCTGAAATATTAATTATTTGACCGGACACACTAATAAACGGCTCTACCAAGCTGTATAAGTTGTCCGCTGATGGATTACTCCAGATCGGAGAAAAGAGAGCTCGTAATTAATTAATTGTTTAATTAGTTTTTATCAGTGACAAGTGATAGATACAAGACTATCGAAACACCAAATCAAATTTAATTTATAAATAGATTTATTTCTGCGTTAGAATAATAATTGTTATTATTCTAATCGTAGGCAGGATTATGAGTGACTGAAGCTCGTATAGGGAGTTAAGAAGCGCGGATTTAAATATTAAATTAGGTCACTTGTAGATTTAGAATTCAATCTTAATTGAACAATTACCGTAATAAGGGCGGTAACGCGAAGCTAAATCTGAAAACATCCCCCCGGTCGGAAGAACACCCTACGCGAAAGACTATCGCTCTCCCAAACCCAGACCATCCGACCGTAACAGATCCACATGGGATAAGAAAGATGATAATGCTTTTAATTGAGGAGGTTGAGGTAACCTCATGACTAAAACTCGCATGGGTTAGCACATGGTACAGATAACTGCAGATTATGGATGACACCCTATCTGCTGTAGCGAATAGAGTGGGAGGAGGTAAGAGAGAAAATAAAAAAAAAAAGGGATGTAACATGTGAGTGATGCAGACTGTGAGAAATAGTTCTAATGCAAATAATATTGTTAGAACCCAAATTATTGATGCTTATAACCGTTAAATCGGGTGGCAGAGATTCAACTCAGACGGTCAGTTAACAGTTTGCAAACACGGTTATCTTTTGGCTCTTAATTAACTGTATGGTGCTATTATTATTATCGATGCTTGAGAATTAGCCTTCAATCGTGAATAAGGCCCGTAATGTTATGAAGTAGCTGGTCCCTTATCAAATCAACGATCGACGTCATATATTACGGTACTTTATTTATTTTATATGAATTATTGAATTATAGTTCGTGATTATGTAATAAATAGAGATAACGTGGACAATTGTTACGTGACGATGATTGTAGATCGTTTTGCATTGTTTTATTATAGTCAGACACTTTTGTGGTTGTACAGCATATTCTGAATATGGTTTGATCTTCATCAATATAACCAGCACAAATTCCGGACGTCTTTCGTTTATCACTTTTGCCTAAATTACACTATTTTGAACTTGTAGTCAAATTAGTGAATGTTGTTATTGGTTATCTTAATATTAGAGATTGTTTCTATCTTGGTAAATGAATCGGATCATTTATTTGGTATAGCATTAATCAGTGTTAGAGTTTGTTTGCTGAAAGTGACCTTTCGATCTGCTAGTAGTAATATTTCATTGGAATTAATTTAACAGCTGATAATATCAGTTCTGATGTTTCTATCGTTATAAGTGAATCAGGCCATTCCTTGGTATGATTCTAACTTGGAGCTAGCTGGTTTTCTGCGAAAGCCGTTTAAGCGGGTTTCCCATCCATTAACAAGAACAGCGTTCGCATTGTCTATTAGCAATCGTATGACGCTTATTAATATTACTATCTATCGTTGTAAGCGAATCAGAGGACATTGAACAATGTTTGCATTATCTGTTAGCAATCATATGTTGTAAGTGAATTAGGCCACAACATTAAACTTCGCATTGTCTGTTAACAGTCGTATGATGCTTATTAATAACCGTATTAGTATGACGCTTAGCCATTTCTTGGTATGACATTGATCATGTTCGTCATACGAGCTTTTTTGCATTGTCTGTTAGAGTGTGACAATTTAACAGGTGATGTAACAATGAACACAATACCATACATGTACCCCCGCATATGTCACTCCCGATGCTGAACAAATCCTCTATACAATCCAGAGTTGAAGCAGTATTTCATACAGGAATATTAATAGGCAAATTGCTGAACGTACTCGAAGAACATTAAAGTACACCATAAAATATTAAAGACATTCGACATTGCCCAAAGAAATTTGGATATCGATAAATATCTCCTCCCAGCGTCCACCCATAATAAGTGCGGATCAGCTAATTTTGGTTGTTCAAGATGTGCAAGGGAGATTAGAGAATATGCCAAGCCGTAGTATCTAGAATGTTGAGTAAAAATTACTATCCGAGAGATCCAGCGACACTCCAAGCTGTTAAAAGTTGGATGGTGAAGAAGCAAAGAGGTAAAATGTTCCTTGAACGAATAAATTTAAGATTTATTGTGAGAACTGAAAAATGTGTATGCACGATGGCATAATAAAATTTCTGATAAATAATATTGAATATGAAATCGCTGCTGCTTTTAATTCCGCATCAGTAAATAATATATTATATATTATACATAACTTTATTATGCCATTAATATCTTGTCCCTTCCAATTGTTAATTATCAGTAGATCGATACTCTTATCGTTTTTCTCTAACTTAGAGCTTGTACAGACCAATTATCACATGGGTTGAACACCTTTACTCTTATGATTGAGTCCGGAATTTGTGCTGGTTATATTGATATTGATAAAGATCAACCCATATTCAGGATATGCTGTACGACCATAAAAGTGTGTCCGAATTATTGACTATCATCATTGTATTTAAGGCGCAACCAAACATCTCATGAATAATATGATGAAGGTGGGCCCTTATTCACGAGAGGATAATGAGCATTAGTCAAAAAAGGGAAAGGGCAAATGTGCCTGCAGACAGCCATACATTTAAGTGGATATAAAATTAGAAACTCCATGCAGTTTTTGGTCGATATAGTGTTTATCATTATTACTGCAGATGTTGAGCTTTATTACTGATGCGACGTCCTTGATACTGTCTACTATTGGACGGTTAAGACCAGAACGACGGCTTCTTCCAAAAATAATCATTTTCATCCGAAAATCATCAACCTCCTTAATATTAATAGTAATAAATGTGACAGATTAAAATAGAATGAAATTTAAAATTTTTTGGGGGCTGCCTTTTTGGGATTTGGCATAGGATTTGGGGTAAGATTTGGGGTAAGAGGTTTCAGAGGCTTAAAAGAGACCCCAATTTCATTTCAGCAATAACGATGAATGAATTGGATATGCGTATAGAAATGATTTACAAGCTGTATGACAAATACTAATACTAAGCAGTTATAGAACTATAAGATTTGGAAACTTTAATTACGATCGAAGAGTTATGACTGTTTCAGCAGTAAGAAATTCGACTCAATAATCGACGAATAGAAATAGTTTTTATACGTCATGGACTGCTCATAACTGTAAGCGCGCAATGGTGTTTGGTAGCATATACTGTATATAAATAATTATATGCTATCCAAAAGGTTGAAACAAAAAAACTCTTAAAATTAATGCTTAAATGAGACTAATATTATACGATACTTGATTCGACGACATTATGATGTTATACAACACGTAATTGCGCATATTATGTATACGCAAGATAACAGTTGCAATTAAGGGGTAATGAATGCCTATAATAATAATAGGCATACATTTATACTCGCACACAAAGATCACGTTTAACAAATAGAATTAAAAGCGCATTTGTCATTGCTGACTTTGAAACTTTTGGACTGACAAATTAACATTACTATCATAACAGTCTGATTCACAAGTCTTTATTGGTACTGTTCTTCAACAGTCGCAAAACTGTGCTTATGCTATTATAACAACTCAATGGACTTGAGTCAAATCCAAGTATCGGATGGATACAATTCTTCCCAAACTGCGTATCGTACGACTCTCATTAGACATTGTATGGTTGATCCTGGCAAGCAAGCATTTCCATGCGAATGTTTAACATCAAAAGATTTTGTTCAAAACGCTTGCATTTTTATTATCTCAACTGCCAAGAGTTTTAAACCTCACTATTAATAATACTTTATGAATCAAATCAGCTCGTATATTAATTTTTATGGTTGAGAATCGTAAAGACATTTTGGCCGACTCTATTCAAAAGCAATTCAACTTTTTGAGGGCAGATAGGCAAACGTTACGAGCACGGTTAACACAATTAATTGTCTTTATTATTATTTTATCTTTATAAAGCAAAATAAAAAAAAAAGTTTTTGATTAATCACGTGGTTCTTCACGGGTGTCCCACGCTAAAAGTGCCAGCGCGCTGCCAAGATGCATTTCGAGCCATTCAAGTAAAATAAAGTTATTGCTAAGCCTTGTTATCCTTTTACACGTGCAGACGTAGAAACATAGAGTTCATGAGATAAGAGAATGGATGGATCGGCTATCTTCGACATCAAACTAAACTTTAATCTATACACTTTTCGTTTGCAGTAAGTCGTTATGTTTATAAAAGAAGGAGCGTCTCTTGTTCGTTAATTATTGATTAACGATAAGGTAGAATTTGGCAATCACGAGGTGAACGTCTGTCTATATTAATGCATTGCACAGCCATGAGTCTTTCTCAGTTACATCGTGTAACATAACTCTGTTAGAGTGATTCTCGATGTCAAACAGGTTGCTCACCCGGCCGGAAGCGGACTTATTTACTATTATTATTCTTACAAAAAAGTCGCTAATATACCGGCAACATATCCCTCCTCTTTTCCGATAACTACGTGCTCTGTTAATCACCCATCCACTCGCTAATGCTCCACTCAATTAACAAAGGAACGCGACGAATCTCCATATATAAATAAAAGACATCACCAACACTCCAGCATTAATTCTAATAACTTAATAACTACTTTCAATGTCCGCAACAAAGGCGACATATATAAAACGAAAGCCGGTTGAACGTCCTGTTCTTGAACGTCCAGTCGAACGTCCAATAGACGATGACGTTCCGGTTAGTCCTGGAGTATATCCTACAAAAAGATCTGACCTCGCTTTCCTCTCCCAGAAGCCACGCACTCCTGCAAAATCCCCACTCCGCAACTCGGGCCAAGTTTCCACATCCAGCTCAATCCAAACAACAATAGTACCTGTCACATCAACAATTCAAATACTACCGACAGCAACAGACGCTAAGCCTCAATTACCTATAGGGTCGGAAAGATTGTCAATAGATACGTCTTCCACTACCGTCAAAGCGCTTGAGGAGTCTGAAATTATGAGGCCAAAATCAGGAAGGAGGCCGTCGGATCTTACCAATTCTTCTGCATCACCAATCGACACTGCATCACCCCCACTATCGCCACGAATGAAGTTACCTTCGCTTGCAATTGCAGGTGATCTGTTGGCATCGTCAGAAGCAATGCTTCAGACGACAACACCCAAGAGCACTAGTACGTCATTAATGGACACCGCTGACGATATGCTGATACAATTATTGATCAGTCAAGCAGTCGTCGATGCGAGAGACTTTGAGATTTTGTCAATAGACGAAGTTGAAGAATTGAAGAAGGTTTGTTTATTGCAGATAGGCTAAGTAACAATAATAGCGTTAATACAGTGGGGAGGGGGAGGGGGAGTAATAATGAGCGATCTCTTTATACTTACACATTTTATCAATTCATCTTCCAGGACCACGCTTTGCTTAAAACCCGTATAGCAGCTTTAAATAATAAACTCTCACTTGAAACTAAAATTCGCGAAGCTGCTAATTCGCTTTCCCGTTTACATGCATCAAACAAACGCCTCTCCCGCCAGGCAAATGATCATCTCACTCAGGCAAATCGTAAAGTGGATCATGTAGCCTCTGAGTTATGGAAACTTACCCAACGCGCGGGCGAAATTCAGCGCAAGCTGCTTCAACATATGGCTGGTATAATGTGTTTAGGTGTGCGGAAGCTAGAAGAAAAACAACTACAGCTGCAACATCAACGACAACAAGAATATCCAAAGCCTTCTTTATATGAACATCAAATGGTGTCAGTAAATAATGGAATAGACCACCTCTATAATGAATTGATGGGACTTGAGGCTAGAATTGACCCTAATCTGGCAAATAAAGTATCAAGCTTGGAAGCTAATCTACAACTAGCACACAAAACACTCGGAGAAGCGAGGTTTTCAATAAAAAGGAAGGACAAGGAAATCGAAGAGCTAAAAAGCAAAGTTGATGATACAAGCTCCGAAGTCAGAGAGCGCACCATTGTAGAACTGCGTACTGAATTTGAAGAAGTTTCTAGGAGTTTAGATATCATACTTCGTCACCACAAACAGGCACAAAGAGATACGGCTTCGTCTACTACCGATGAAGAAGAGGATGGGGATGAATCAGATTCCGGATCGTCATATAATCGCTTATCCACAATGACTCAAAGCATACAGAATGAGCAGTCTAAAAACATAACGAAGAACCTCAAAACATTAGAGAAAATTCTTGAAAATTATCAGTTCAAGTTATATCGCATGGAACAAGAGATGGTTGCGGTTAAACAGAATGCAGAAGGAGATACCAGGTCAATAGAGTCAAGTCTCTCAAACCTCGCTCAAGAACGTGATATTTTAAGGGAAGCATTGCAAGAACAGCAACGGGCTAGAGAGACGTCAGAGAATCGGTTATCTGAATTAGAAATCAAGGCTAGGAAAGTTGAAGATCTAGAAGAACGGATTCGTGAATTAGATGCAGTTAATGAAGACAGATTAATGGCTTCTCAGCAACGACAAGAACTAGAATCACAACTTGTTCAAGTGAATCAGGATTATGAGAAGTTGTTGAATTCGCTTCAGAGAGTGTTTGATGACTTATCTACTGGAAAAGTTCGAACTAGCTTCAGCATAGATGTCTTCTTTTCCAGGATACGTAACATTAAGGACGAGAACAAGCGGCTTATGGACTCTATCACAATGCTTCAGACTCAACAAGAGATGATGCAGTCTCAACTTGATAAAGCTAACGAATATACTGATGCAAAAGAAACATTAGAAGAAACACAGCGCGAATTAGAAGATACCAAAGTACGCTTGCAGGACGCTGAAATTCGTGCACAAGAAGCAAAATATGCCGTGAGCTCATCGTCTGAAAAAGAATCGGCCCTCCAACAAAAACTTCTCGAAGTTCAAGAGAAATTTGCCGAGACGAAAGAGAAGGTACGCAAATATGAAGCCACTCTTAAACGCCAGAGTATAATTCAAGTTATAAATGATGGTCGATCCAAGCATGAGGAACTCCAACAACAAATAGAAGCTCAAGCACAAGAGTATGAAGCCCAAATAAAAGAGCTAGATGGTGTCATTTCGAGGTTGAGACAAGACATTACTAATATGACGAGTGAACGGGACAAGGCTTCGCAGGTTGTCAAGGAGCTCGAGGAAATGCTCAGTACAAAGTCTCGTACTCTTGATCGGCGCGAAGTAACGATAAACCATCTTGAGAGCGATATTGTCCGCTTCAAAACTGAGCTCGCCGAACTCAAAGCAGCTACTGATGGTTTGGCCCGGTTTAATCGTTTGAATGCTGACGGTGAGACAGCGAAGATTAAAGCTCAACTCAACGAAGCCGAGGCCGAAATAATGCATTTAAGATCGGTGAGGGAAAACCTTGAAGCTGAGAAATCGTCCTTGCTGCAGCAGATAAGAGGGCTAGACGACATATTAGCTGGTGCTCAAGATCAGTTTGCCCTCCGAGAGCAGAAATTCGAGCAATGTAGCGAGAGATTACAGACAGAATACGATGGAATTCTTCGTGAATTTGATCGATTGACAAAGAATTTCATTGACTTTGATGGCGAGCGGCAGAAGCTTGAGGGAGCAGTTGATGTCCTGCAAAAGAACTGTGAACGGTTAGAAAATGAATTAGCAGACGAGAGAATCAAACATCTCGGTGTAGTAGGAAAGGATCTTCCGACAACCGCTACGCTAAGAAAAGAATTTAGAAAAATGATGGCCGATTTGAGAAGTGAACAACAAGCATTATTGCATCGTGAGAGGGAGGAAAAGAAGAAGTTGGAGAATGTTGTGAGGACATTGAAGAGAGATAAAGAGGCTGAAAGATGGGAGAGGAGTAATAAAGGAACGCAGACAAGATTTGTCGTTGCCGTTCCATAGGTATAGAGAAAGATGTATTATTATTATTTGAATATTTACTACGGGTATCAATTATGATTTTTATTTTATTTTATTATTTTATTATTGTTTTTGTATTTTACAACTACATCGGTGTGTTTTTGCCTTTATTATAGTTGAATATTTTATTAGTTTAGGATTATTGGAAATCTAAATAATGTATTCTTTGAATCAAATCTTTTTTTCTTGTATACATCCATAAGATGCGAATTGGCTATATTTCTAACAAAAGTTTTAGTTTACAATAAACATTTGTACATTTGATTACACTATCAACTATGTTAAAATTCTGATTATATCAAGCTGATCCTCTTACACAGCAGCTCGTTCCATGATGTCGGGATTGACTATTACTATATGAGGAAAGTAAACAAAACGTTAACGGTTATTATTATGTCATGACATGCATGAATGAGAAACATACATTAGTACGTGTTTTCTTTTTAAGACGCCAGCCATCCGAGACCGACTTATCAGACCGACTTATCGAGGGAAACCGACTTATCGAATCCGCGTGACTAATTTAGTAAAAATTATTTTTATATAAAAGATGGAAACCCATTATTCTAAATAAATATCCATGCTCGTTTGCATCGAAGAATCCGTTCGCTTCTTCACAATTTCCCATTTTAAGTCTCTTAACCCTGAAATTAATAAACTCTTTACTTTTATATCGTTATTTTCCGCTGCAAATGGTTATATAAATTTTGAATGCTTTCTAAAGCCACTTTGTTAGATACCATAAAACCCTCATTTTTGTCGACATCTTCTCTATTCTCAGGAGCTTCTTGGACGGCTGCAATAATTTCATTATCATCAGGAATATCGTTTGTTTCTAAAGTACTGTCAATTTCATTATAGTCTTTTGCTCTCGTGACGGAATAATCAACGATCATTTGATTGTACGATTTCATCTTCTATCTCAATGTCATTATCTGGTGGTTCATAGTTAATGACTTCCGACTCGTCATAGTCAGGCAGAATATCAGTTCTCTCCCAGCACCTATATTACATCTTCAGTCACATTTCTCCACGATTCTGCAACCCAGTCGATTGCATTTAAAATATTTAAAGTAGGAATCTCAGTTCCATATTCCTGAAACCGATCAAATGCATCTATCCTATCTTTACACAAGTATTTTCTATAGTTAGACTTGACTTAAACGAATGAATTATTCCCTGATCAATTCGTTGAAGGTGGGCGGTAGTGTTAGGTGGGAGAAAGTGTAGTCTAACGTTGCTTAACGTTTCACTTTCTTCCAATTGATGAGAAGAAGCGTTGTCCACTAATAGCAAAATGTTTCTGCTCTCTTTTCGCATTAGCTCGTTAACGCGTTTAATCCAAGATTGGAATATCGATTGTTCCAATAATACCATACTGGGAGTGGTTTTTATCAACATTTGGGATTTTTATATCGATGGATAAAGACAGCGAGTGCCTGTTACATTACACGCAAGCATTACCCCTGTCTTTAGGTTTTTTGGCACAGTAAGAGAACCACTAGAAAGCGATTTGTTAGGCTCTAATTTCCAATAGAGGCCAGTTTCATCCGCATTGTAGACATCATGTAAATCATATTGCAATTAACGGCTTTAATTCTGTTCTAAATGCTGGCAAATCGTCGAGCGGTGCACTTGCTGCCTCTCCCAATTTATAATGTTCCGTTATATGCTTTCGCTTCTTGAAATTCGACAACCATCCCTATTGAAATAAATGATAATTAAATAATTATTATTACGTGTAAATGCATATATCTTTCTTACTGAACGATAACTTAATACTTTCCTCGGATGCTGAAAATCCATCAATATTAAGTCTCCTGGCATAATCTTCTGCTTTTTGACAAACAATAACACCCATTATCGTGTAATACATGATCTATCCAAGTTGCTAATGCATTTTCCAGTTCCGGCCATTCACTTGCACGATTTCTTTTAATTGAGTTTGAATTTGTCCTCGACTTTCACTAAAATTTCGTGTTCAATAACTGTAAAAGCAATAAAGATATTCAAATAATGAAACAACAATATCTTTTGTTAAAGCAGAACCACGTAATGTAAAATATCAAAACTAATTCTACCTTCAATGGATTGCCCTTGCTGATATTCATCTGCTACGGACTTTAGATCTAAAATGCGTCCACCAACCAAATCATATAATTTCTCTGCGTCTGTAGTATCAATCTTGCCTTCCTTTACAGTCTTGATTCCACGCCTGTTGATCAGGTAGTTCAATGATTCTTCTCTGGAGATATCACCAATTTCGATCGGAGCTCTTGCACGTGACCAAGCACTACGTGCTAGAAATAAGAATATTGATTTATAAATATGACAGTAAGAGAGTCAAAAAAAAACCTTGTTAGAACTTACACTGCATTCTTCGAGGAACACTTCCTTCGCTACTAACAAACACTGCAATGTACTTTCTGTCATCGGCATTATCCTTGGCATCATCTTGAAGGATGTCGAGGATTTCCGGATTCTTGTGAGCTATACGGCTGATGTTGTCATAAACAATGACCGGTGGTTTGCCATACTTCGTTTTATACACTTCAGAGGCACGTTTAGTTTCATCTATAAAAGAATTAAAAATGATGGTCTCAAACAATAAAACAGAAATAAAAATCTCACCCCCAGTCTCTCTAAAAATTTTTCGCTTCAGTTGCATTGTAAGTGAGGCATCTTCTTCGAAAGTGAAATTGATAGCTTTTCCAAACTCGTCACCTAACTTGTTAAAATTTGAAGGAATATCAATGTATATAACACCTTTCCCAACTTCGTTTGCCACTATTCTGGTCAATGTCGTTTTTCCAGTCCCATGTTCTCCGCAAACAGCATGATAATATGAATGATTTTTATTTGGTTGAAAAATTCCCTTAAGGCGCTCTATAACTTTAGGCCGAGGAACATACTCATCCTCCAACACCGCCAACTGTGGTCGAGTGCCTTTTTCCATAGTTTTGTTGACACGTCGCTCATTAGATTGGTATACCCACCAAACATAAAGAAGATCTCCTGCTAGGAAGACTACACTACCACTTGACAAAAGTCCTAATACCACATTCGTTGTTTCCAGTTGATAGAACGTAAATAGATTTGTACTGGAACCCATTTCTTTTTCCAGGCGAAGGAAGCAGACTCATTAGGAGCGGAATTTGTATAAGGTCTCGAAAGAAACATATGAGGATTTGAACTTCTTAACGCAATTTTTTGTGGTTGAAGGAACATAACTTGACGTGTATTGAGGCGAGCTGGTAAAACTCTCCTACGAAAATAATAGGTCATACTGGAAGACATTTCCGCTGGTTGGATCAAAGGAAAAATTTATATCGATTGATTGCATAATACATCACGATCGACAAAAATCACGCGATTTGGCAAAAAAAATCAGTCTGTTACATGATAAGAGATTTCTCTCCAAACCATTTTATCCGAACCGAAGCTTTCACGGCGTTTCTGTATCACATTTTATCATTCATATATGCTAATCGATTTTTCCCCGAATATAATCAGATTTTATGACGAGACAAAGCTAAAGTGTACTGGACGTGTTAATTATGCGATCCATCGTTTTTGGTTGTACCAGCTTTCGCTGAGATTTGGCGATAATTACATTCTTGATGGTGATTCTGCATGTAATAATACACTACTTTTTTTAGGTTTGAGGGGGGAAAGATTGTTCGAAAAAAACATTAGGCCATTTGTATTCAGATAGCTATGGAAATTCTTGATGAGGGACCAATAATTGAGTATCGCCCTCCTTTTTTGAATGGGTTAGAACTTGACGCCTTTTTTAGAAAACATCGAATCGCATTAGAAGTTCAAGGAGCTCAACATCGGCTTTATAATACTGGCTGGTATAAAGACGTTAAAAAGCTCGAAGACATTGTTAATCGCGATCGTCTAAAAAGATGCATGTGTCAAGATAACAGAATTTTCCTACTCGAGGGTATGGTATGATGAAAAGCCAGAAATCGTCATTCCGGAAAGAATACAAAAGATCAAGTGTTTCGTTAATCAGGCATCCAAATTTTTCGATCTATAAGTCAACTCATAATATATAAAACTTAATATCTAAATCGCAGACAAGTGTTTAATATATACCTCATAATTTTTTCGTTACTTTATATACAGTAACGTGCAAAAGTATCCTACCGGTTGTATCATCTAAACGTACATAATAATAACTCCTTAAATTTTCCAG